AGTTTATGTGATCTGTGTAACAGTGCCATGTTAGCATGTAAAGTAGCAGTGTAATTACCATATACGCAGGCAATGCAGTTGCATAGGCACCCAAAGTCGTTGCAGGGCCTGTAATTTACCTCTCATGTTAGTACAATTTTAATTTAAGTAAAGTAACCTGACAATGTGAATTGATACAAACAACTGATCTTTTTTGAGTTGCTGTATAGTACTCAGTGAGTTAGGTCTCTTACTCCAATAACATTAAATACTTTTTACATACAAACACTCTATTGCCACACAACTCTATGGTAGGTACATCTACATTAATTTTAAATAAGAATGAATTCATGGGCAATTTTATGCTAAACATGTGCAACTTGGGCCCGCACAGGATTGGGTAATACTGATTAACTTGCACATTGCTGCATAGCAAAATCCACGTAGAAGAGTAACTAGGTAGTGAAGTGACAGAAACTGGGAAATTAACATGATATGAAGTACAAACACAAAAGTGGATTTCAGAAGCTAAAATTGAAAGAAGCAGCCGAGCAAGAAAAAGCAAAAATATAAATTTTCCTTCAAAATAAAGATTGGATAGTAGCAAGCACGAAATGTGGGCAAGAAGAGCTGAAGGGGACACTCGCTGCTAGCAACCGCATTGCGCCATCCACCGTGGTGGTGAGGACAAGGACGTGCCCCCGGACACTTTCAAACTACAGCCTGAAACACCGCACGCTGCAACAGACAAATTCTTTTGAGCAAGCAAGTTATGCCATATTTTAAAAAATGACATAACGACATGACATGTTTAAGGGTGCTTTTACACCTGCCTCATTTTGTTGTTGAATCGGACTAGAGTTCGTTTTCCCCCTTGGTGCGGTTCATTTGGGCAGGTGTGAATGCAACAGTTGCACTCGGGTGTACATGTCCTGTTTAACATTTGGCTACTAATCATGCTAAAAATAAATTATTACTTCATGAGCTATTTGCGATACAGATCAGAAGCATTAAAGTGCTGCATAAACTTCTGTCAGTCACTGGAGTTTGATTGAGATGACAATCGCCAAAGCTGTCCAATCAACAAGTTACCTGTAAGTCTGTGTACCGTCATAGTAACTTCTCTTGGTTCGTTTGTAAAACTACAGTGTGACCTTGAACCGGGCCAGAACTAAAATGCAACTGTGTATCATTTTATCATTTTTTTCACTTGGTCCGGACCAAATGAACTGAACTACAGGTGTGAAAGCACCCTAAGAGACAGCATCTGACAAGTGAACACAGCACAAGAACTAACCAAGATGTTGATTGTGGGCAACTGCATCGCTGCAAGCTTTGAGGTAGTGTGCACCCTTTTACTGCTTTTCTTAACAATTCCAGTGACTGTGGCCTCTCCAGAACGATCTTTTTCCAAACTCAAACTTATCAAATCTTACCTGAAGAGCTCACTGAGACAGACCTGTTAATCTGGAGTTGTCACACTGTCAACAGAGAAGGCCCTGCCTGCCAGCTGGATTTAAAGGGTTTAATAAACGACTTTACACAGCAAAACAGGATAATATTTTCACATGCGTTAAGGTGTGCTGTCACCGGTCATGTGTTCATATGTGTGATGGTGCGCTGTCATCGGTTAGGCTATGTTTTAATCTCTTATGGTGCTCCAACACCACTTTGGTCACACAGGCTAGTCTATATGCTTTGCTATTATGACTCATCTTCCTTATAGAATGCTGTCTGGTTTCATTTAGTTTGGATGTCAACTGTGCAGTGCATTTCGCTGTGGCTGGTTGTTTTAAAGCCGCAAGCTTTCACTTCTTTAATTTGCTAATGACATTATGCTACTTTGATTGTGATGGGAGGGCCCGCTATGACCGTTTTGCATCGGGGGGGGCCACAAGCCAACTTGTTACGCCCCTGATGTAAAGACATCTTGTCTGTGTGAAGCATAACATTTTGAACAACAATTTAGCGGTGGCTGAGAACTGGTTGCACTGTTAGCTGGCAGGTCCGTTGTGGAGCCAGCCAGCCAGTCTTTCATTTGTAGTGTTAAAGATGACAGGGTCTGTTCGCGTCAGTTAGTCACTGTTCCAAGCAGGCCATGCTGGAGGACTGCTGCAGCCGCCGGGTCGGGCCAGTGTCCAGCAAAAAGAGTGAAGAAAGAGACAAGGAAAGAGAGTGATGTTGCGTTGCGGTTTTTATCAGTGAGGTGAAGTCATATGTCAGAGGCCAATCATAGCTGCAGCTGGGTCTCTGGGCTGAGTTTCTACCTCAGGATTCCTGGAAAACTGAGTTCAATGACTCACATGATAAAAGTTTGATTATGATCACAATTAAACAACTTCACATGTGAGGTCCCTGTGATCCCAACATAGTTTTGCAGGTATTTGGTCATGCTGTACACCCAAGTATTGGACAAAGTGACATTTTGACCTGATAATGATGGTAAAGGAAAAATATTCTGCCTATCTATCGAGCATATATAGATATGTAATACATTAGATAAGCTGATTTCACTGGATGAAAGCCCCTGTACCTAAACACAATAAGACTTCTCCAGAAACAACTCATGATCTCTCCTCATTGAAAAAATGCTTAATTAAGCACCGTGGAGTTCTCCTAAACAGAATCAAAACAGTATCAGAACAAGATCACCATCATCGATAAAAGAAACCAAAACTGTTGAGGAGCAGGATGCAAACATCCACTGTCAAAGTCAGACTCGTACATCAATCCACCCATCCTCCTAGCCCTTTTTGCAGTGACGTGACAACATCCTGCCACTGCCTTTGTTGCTGAATGTAAATACGTTGTTTATAAACAAATGATTATGGTTTTTCAGGAGTAGACAGCTGTAAACATGTGGTTTTAAAATCGTTTTTGTCTTGCTCATGATGGTCCAGCCACCAAGATTACTTTTATTTATTGGCTCAGTATTTGGTTGAGTCAGCCTTCATCAAATCTTCGTTTATTATGGCATCAGGCCATTAAATAGTAAATGTCAGTTCCAACAGCTTATATGGGTTTTGTAATAGGACTGGATATAATTTTTCTACATTCCTCTTTTCTCTTGCAAGGCAGCTTTTTACGTACCTTGTCTCAATAGAGAAAAACTCAGTAGTTGTAGTTTTATGATTTTGTAAGGGGGGTTGGTGGTCACAAGTCAGCAGTTGAATATAAATCTTACAGATAAAGTCTTTCGGAGAGTCGAGCCCTTTTGAAAGGAACTGAGAGCTCACCGTATTTGAAGGCAGTTTCAGCTTTTGCTAAATCCCTGTTTAACCCCATATAGCGATACAGAGGGGCTGACGGGCAAAGACCAGGGGTTAAGGAGATCATTCAGACAGATAAAGATGATGCATGGCTTCCTTCTCTCTGCCTTTTGTCTCTCTCTCAGATGCGCACACATACCCACGCACACCATCTTCTTGCCCCCTGTACTTTATCTACTCTGTAGCAACCTTGTACACCCGTTTCTCTCTCTCTGGCTTCTGTCCAACTTCTCAGTCGTCGCCTTTCATCTCTTTGGCTAAGACAGGAACAGGCAGATTAAGGAGAGGAAGAGTATTAGGGGAGCCATTCTTTCTGCCTCTTTGTGACGGGAGGGTTACTGTTAGCGCAGCGGAGCCCTCCCTCTGTTGGGTTTGGTCATTAGAGGGAGGCTACGGAGCGGTGGGGGGAAAGTAAGCCTTAGGGAGTGTTTACATTACAAGAATACTGATATTTTGAGACTCTGGTGTATAAATGCATTCTTATATTTGACATTATTATTATTATATTATTTGTATTTCCGGTTGAAGCTTATATTTAAAAAAACAATGAAATACAAAAGGCAATACATTAATATAAGTGTAAAACAAAACAGTAGAAAGAGTACATCATCGGTTGTCAGTTGTCAAAAGGCAGAAAGAAAATAAGTTGATCAGTAAGAGCATCAGAACATTGCAGGAGAAAATGCCAGAAACCAGTGTGAATATGGTTGTCATAGACATAAATTGACAATAACTAGCTGCATTGTAACAGTTCAAAGGGCTTAATGACATTGAATGAATTGCATCTGCTGCATCTGTTGCTTAAAATATCATCATGGATAATGACAATACATTTTTTTCATTCTAAACATTTTGTATGAAGCTGTCACCATCACTATTATCATCATTATTATTGGCATGACACAAAAGACCCATGGATTGTGTATGTAAATCAACAAATTCCAGCTTGCTTTCTGTAATATTTCCTTTTGTCCATGACCAAAGACACAAAAATCGTTTTACTCCTTAACAGCTATGAAGATCCCTTCCATAAAGTACAGGACACATCACTATTGAAGAAGTTCAAATGTCCCCTCACCCCACACCTCTAGCCATTATTCTTCATTTCTGCATGAGATACGAGAGTTTTTGGAGAGAACAATGCATGCAGCAAAGACATTTAAAAAAAACCTCTCTTATTCAGAAAATGTCCAAAAATATTCTTATAAGATACATTTGATGGTTTCGAGAAGAGGATCAGCCAGTAATTGCTAAAGACAAGGGTCTTGTTTCACAAAAAGTGATTTGCGAGCTGTGCTTACATGTAAACTGCAAATGGTGAATCACATTTCACAAATGATTGTCGCCTGCACATGGGAGATAAATTTGGGACTTTGGCTACCGCATGCTCATGCATGTGTAGCAGGTATGGTGTTGGTGTCAAAATTAACAAATAGGATTTTTTTCATCTTCAAATAGTATCTTGCATGTTGCAGCTTAGGTGAAAGGGGCCCAAGATAGATTTTATTTTAGTGGCGCAAATTTTGAAAGAAAACTAGTACCTTCAACGAGCTTACATGTTCCTATAAGACAACTGCTTTCAGGTGTCTCTCTTTTCTGTTCTGTTTGTTAAGCCATTATTGGAGCACTGCCACTTCTCCACTGCACCTCCACAACCGTGTCAGACATGGCTGTGATTTATGATGCAACTGCAAAGACTTTGTTCCTGCAATGTTGCATTTGTCTGAAGAGGGAGAAATCAAATTTCAAAAGTACCATTCAAAGAGTATGCTTTTATTAAATATTGATGTCACACACATGGTTAGCGGGATGTTAACGTTTGAAGGAAAACAGCATCATTTAACGCCCTTGTGCCACCTTGCTCTACAGTGAACAGCTGTTACATCATCCTTGAATCATTCATTCTGAAACCAGAAAGAGTTGAGGTAAACACAAAATGTGTGGATTGTAAAGGGGCTCACAGTGACTGATCAAAAGATGAAGGAGCTCTCTGTGAAGTATAGACAACACATGCACTTTTAAAACTTATATTGGCTTTGTAAATCCTTTTGTGCATATTTTGTCTCTTTGATGACTTCACATGTCTGAATCCAAACATGAGAACTGGGCATATTTTTTCCCCCTTCAGTGCCATTAAATGGGAACATTGTGAAACATCATGAAAGTATGAGTTGCTTCTTCCTTTTGATGATTCACCATATTCACTCACGGGGCCAGCCGTAATTGTGGTCAGTTTTGGCTTAAATGAATACTTCAATCTATTGCGAAATAGGTTTATTCGCTTTCATGACAAGAGTTAGATGAGAGGACTTCGTACCACTTTCATGTCTGTCCACAACATATGAAGCTACAGCCAGCAAACTGTTAGTTTAGCTTAGCATACAGACTGGAAAACAGCGCCTTCCACAACCACATTATCAACTGCTTTGTCTCCAGATGTGTTTACCTGTCATGATATGATGAAATTACTTCTGACTTTGCAAGACTAATAGTCATAAAAGTGCAAACACATCACATGTAAATGACAGATCAATCCTCCACGCTGTGGTGCTGAAATCACTCCATCCTTTTTTAAAACGGCATCAAATCCCGTTTCAGCAATTGCATTTAAATATCACATATTTTATATCAGTCCAGTAATTTAAAATTTCAAAAATAAAATGGGTTTTAGAAAGAAAGTTGAACACAAACGTCAGAACAGCCAAGAGGGCAATAGTGTTCCAACAGTCAAAGCTCCTCAGCATCTGCATTTAAATTTGGTACGAGTACCTGGGTGTGCGCTGTCAGCGGGATCTATGTTCCAGTTGGGTGACTGAGCCTTCCTGGTATTGAAACATGATGACAGTTAAGGCAAGTCTCACACCAGCCAATGGAGTCATCAATAATAAGACGAGGTGAGCAGGAAGGGAGGAGGGAGGGTTATCTGGGCACAGCACATGCACTTCCCATAGGGCCGCAGGGGCAGACAGGCCGCAGAAAGGCGAGATATGGAGTGGCGCTCCTGGAATCTGTGATTTGACATCTGCTCTGTGTGAGAGTCTGTCAGAGGGCAGAAGAAGGTTTTTGGGGGCACTGCCGCTTCCTCTTAAGTCAGAGTCTCTGGGTTTTATCTAAGAGATCTGGCTTGCAGGGCACAGAGAGCAGCTAAGCAGCATGGCTCTCACTGGAGGTGGTCAACTTTGAATGGATGCCGAATAGATGTCATTCATCCGGAAAAGTCACTCCTCCTCTTCCACGTAAGTAGAGGGAAACCAGCCCACCTGAAAAGCGGCAAAACAGGATACAATTCAGGCAGAAGCACTCAAATGCACAAATATTACACATGATATATATGTTTTGTATTTTCCACTCTTTCTCCAAATTCTGAATGGTGAATTGTCCTCACACTGCTGTCCTTGTCTACATTGGCGTTAAAGGCCTTTGCACACAAAGTCCGTATTTATTGTCTGAAATTGTTGCACATTTAAAGATGAACACAACCTCACGTTGTGTCACTTTAACACACAGACTCCAAAACTTTCGTCCGTCGTTAAAGTTTTCAGAAAAGAAATTGTTCTACATTTTTCAAATCCTTCCCAAGCACAGTATAATTTCATAACTCAGATAGCTACTTTAAGCAGGTCAGATAGTGATATTCAGGTGGATGATGATGATGATGACGGGGAGGAGGATGAAATTTAGCAGGAGGACAGCAGAGTCAGGACCTGCAGGAGCTGCAGACAGATGACGTGTCCACAAAATCATCCTCACTGCTCGACAACTCCATTTTGTTTCATATTGTAAATGTTAGCAACAAATATAATAATAAATCAGGCTCAGTGCGCAAGGTTTCTGTGCAAGCTGAGCAGTTTTTATTGGATGACGTATAAAGAAAAAAACGTCCAAAAAATACAATATTTAGTTACCACGGCATATTATAAGAGCACATATGACATAAGATGAAATGAAAGTATCCAGAAATGTGCTATAATGACAGGAGACCTACAGTAGACCTACCCTGCCGTCGATCTCTCCCTTCCACCACCCATTGGACATCTTCGAGTAGATCGTGATAATGTCTCCCTGAAGCAGGGAGAGCTCTCGTGTGTCTCTGGAGCAGAAGTCATAGCGTGCTACTGCAATACCCACCACCCTGGGAGAAAACACTGAGACAAAGAGATCTTGTCTTATTATTGGGAGCCATCTCCACTAAATTTCACCAGTATTCCTCTCTGAGATTGAGAGTGATTTAGTACAGTTCTTTGAGCTACAAAATTAGACAAGAACTATTATCTCAGGAACTGCTGTCATTGGTCCACAAAGAGCTATATCACACTCACCTGCAACCTATTTTTAAAACTCGAATACTAACTAACACTAACTTTGAAGTGAAAAATCCCATTCTCATTCTAATCTGTTGGACCCTGCCATTCAGTGTTTGAAGAACTACTCACCCGTGTCAGCCTCTTGAAGCCACATTTTCCTCTGCAATCAGAAATCCTAGGCTTTCTAAATGTTATCTATCCTCTTAACTCTTAGGTTTGTCACGTCGAGAGCACTTGAAAGTACAAAGATGATTGGTGACCAATTTTTAACTGTACCCCGAACTGATCTCATTTTAAAATTTTACTAAACTTTTGACAAGAAAAATGTTAACTCAAGGCCCACTTTAATCAAACACAAGTTTGGACCTTCCATTAGGAACAGTAGGATACAGTACTGTAAGTACTAGCAAGCTTTTTGGGACTACAAGGACAATGAGAGGGCAAACTCTGCTTGACTACAGCCACTTTTTTTACCTTTAATATACAGTGGTATATCTTAATTACATTTCATTGAGCTTTTGTAGTTTCTACAAGGTTTACAATGGTATGAAACATTTCCCAAAAGTATTATCAACATTAAAATGACTATGGCTACATTGTAAGGATGATCAGGCAGCAAAGATCCTTGACTCTTGGGTCCCTTAGTTGTGCTGCTATAAGCCTAGACTTCAGATTGCATCAGCACTTCAGGCTATTCCTACACAGACATGTCAGGGCTCATATCACATGTGAACACAGGTGTGCATAGTTTTGTTTTCCTTATCTGTGGAAATACAGGTGACACTATTTGGAAGATGATGCTGGATGAAAGGAATACATCTACTCCCTGATGCACACACAGGCACATCATGCCAACACAGACGCTTGAGCCCAGACATGCATGTAGGTGTAGGCTCATGTGTAACCGGGTGCTCCCAAGAACGTATTGCACGGTACTGACACATATTGGCGACCTCGGGTATGGGAGGCGGACACGCTGAAGAGGAAGCTAAAACCCCTGGGCACTAGCGTCGGTCGCCAGTGCGTCTCTTAAGGTGTCGGGAAGTGAGGTTTACTCACTGCACAGCCTCACTGGCTTGCGTCACACATGCCAAGAAAATAAAAAATTAAATTAAGTCAAAATTTTATATTTTTTGTTGCAGTTCATTAATAAGTGAAACCATACAAACAAAAGAGTATGTCCCCTATTTAATTACCTGGATTGATAATTTTAGTAACATGTAAATGCCTGCAGTGGCGGCTTTGTAGCTCTTTGCCAGTGGTTTGTTGACAATTCTACAGTTATTTTCACCAAGTGGTAGATATCATAGCTGTCAGAGGTTCACAATATTTCCGCTTTGGAATTACAGGAGGCTGTTTTTCCCCACATGGCAACTTGTACGGTCCTTGCAATATGACATAAAAGCAGCACCGCTAGATTATATTATTTAATAGAGACAGGAACACAAGACATTTGTCTTTGGAAACCTGGAAATGTGGGTATACAGCAAGGGAGAGACAAATAGAGTAGAAAAGCTGTACCTGTACCTGACCAGAAAGGCGAGGAGGAGGGAGGAACAAAGCTGCAGCCGCCAGGAGGAACTACAGAGAAACGAAGCGAGTGATGGGGTGTTCAGGCCGTAGAGGGAGCAAAGAGAGAACATAAGCAAAGAAAATACAAGTTTGATAGAAAAAGAGTGTGAGAGAGGGTAACGGAGAGAGAGAGAAAGGAAAAGTTGGCAAAGTCAAAGAACAAGCAAAAAGCAAGTAGAGAAGAGTGAGAGAGGAGGGAAAAACAGTGAAGGCATCAGACCATTTTATATAATACTGATCAATAGAAGATGAGTATTGAGTAATTAACATACATATTAAACATACATAAATGTCCAAAAGTATGCACCCATGTTCACATATTTCGATCTGGGACTGTTTTTAATTTTTTCCCCCTGCTTCTTAATGCTACAATTTACAATGATATTTCATGAAAAATAATTTATAAATAATAATAAAAACTTTATTAATAGCATGCTTAAAACGTTTTGCGAACCATTTGGAGAGGGCCCTTTCATGTTTCAACGTGACAATGCCTCCCCTGCACAAAGCCAGGTCCAAAAAGGAACGACTTTTGCAGGAAGCCAATCCCCATAATCCCACCGGTACTAGTATGCCCCGACCAACACAGCCCCTTTGTGTTGCGTTAACGTATGGCTGTTTTCAGTCTGAACGCCCGCTTATTGCCCAACAACAGTAGCTGACCACATTGAGTTGCAGTTCAGAGTCCTGTTCAGAGCCTTCCCAGAAGAGTGGAGACTATTGGAGCTTACTGATGCCTATAGCTTTTGAAAGAGATGCTCAACAATCACACATGGGTGTAAAGATCAGGGGTCTCATTTATAAAGTGTGCGTACATACAAAACAGGGCTGGAAACGTGTGTACGCCACTTCCCAAGCAAAGGTTGTGATCTATAAAAAACAAACTTGACGGGAAAATGTGCATCCCCTAAGTAAACTCTGAACCATGCCTACGCACATGAAGAGGAGAAATGAGAAACGGTGACTCACATTGCAGAAGGATGAAACGGTTTGAAATGGATAGGCCTACTATTGTGTAAAATAAATCGAAACATTACCTCTGAGTAGTATAGGCTTAAAGCCTTTCTGAATAATCAGACACTCCTTTGATTGATTTTTCCCTGAAGTGCGCAATCAAAAAACATAATGTAAGATAATTTGCAGCGCACAAAAAGAACCATGCTTGAGGATAATAAACACAAACAGAGATATCTGTTTCTGCAAAAGAACACCTCAAATATGTTAGACAGTTTAATCCGGAATCATATTAATTAATATTTGCATGCATTGAAATTTATTCTCATAAATAAGGTGAACAGGAGGACAAATTACAATGAAATTGATGCAGTTTTTAGTGCGTCAGTTGAGCAAATATGAGTGCATAGTTTCATGTATTGTTATCACATTGTTATTCCATAGCATTGTCTTATCGAGCCAAACGCTCTGCGCCAGCGTGTGGATGTGATTTGCTGCTTGTAAAGACATGTTATGGAAAAATAACTCTATTTTATTGCCATTTACAAGAAGTCACAGGCTATTTCTTTTAACTTATTGGCAGCCTCATTAAGTGAGTGGAGTGTTTGTGTAGTCTAAATAAATGTTCAAACACCAGTGGAATGCATTTTGTTTACTCTTTTTTCAAGCAGGGGAATCCAAATTAGTACCTGGGTCATCCCGTCTTGCGTGTGTGTGTTTCCCCCTCCAGTCCGCAACGTCACTACTCAAGAGGGATATCTGTTCCTGCAGATAGGTTATAAAGGGGTGGAGCTCCGGTGCCCCCTTTCCTCCGGTGCACAAGCGTTGCGCGAAAGTGCGTTTTTTACCCACCAAACAACATGCTTCAGCTTCACCAAAAGGAACATCAGCTTCACACTGAGGTAAATCTCGTTTTGTAGCTTGTCTGTCAGAATTTTCCTCCTTTTTTTCCTGCAGTCAGAACGTATTAATATTAATAAGGGGCGTTTCACTGACTATTTATAGGCAACTATGGGCGTTTGAAGGGTCGGACATGGAGCTCACTCACATGCGCCATATTTCAAGTTGATTGTGATTTATATAGGGAACTTGCTTACAAGTGTGCATATGTACGGTTTTATAAGTCTGAATATTTTTTTGCTGTACACCATTTTTGGCTTTTGGGCGCACGTATACTTTTAGTGAGGTTTCTACGCACAGTTTTATAAATGAGACCCCAGGTGTTCAACTACATAATTTTGGCCATGTAGTGTTGCTTCTATAACCTTTCCCAGCTCATACTGCATAATAATCAGCAATAACAACCTTTTGAGCTTCAGACCAGGTAAGCCAAAGCAGCAGCATGGGGGTAAGTATACATCTGGGCACAGCATGGCGCCATGACAAGGCAACGACTGGGAATCCATGCCGCAGAGGCAACGACTTCTGCTTCCATATGAAATTCTATCTGAGCCAGCAGACCCTCACACTGAGACAACCACCTCCTGTCATCACAACAATATGGTCCCATGCCTTCTTCCTCTCCCCCACAGGGATGAGTAAATGCAGGACAATATGTGTCAACTCTTTGTCTGACCAGAGTGCACACAAACAACTACACATACCTGCAGAAGGAAGAATATATAGCATAAACAAAACACATACTGTATGTGTGTACATATATAAGTGTATGTACTGTACTTAAAAAGTTGGCACTAGAATTTACTGTACAGTTTAGTATAATCAAACTAAATATCCTGTAATAGTTTCAGTTTTTCTTTAATATTTTAAGATCTAATTTTAACAGAGATTTTAAATAGTATTGACCAATAATCATTAATTTAAGACAACAGAAATGTATATCCCAACATGGATATGTAGCTACAAAATGATCTGACCTACAGAAAATAGAGGACATTTTAAATGATTTCCCAGCGCTAACATTCACACACATACACAGACAAAAAGCACTCAGTTAGACTTAATTAAAGATGCTGGCAGTTTTTCCAAACAAATTACTCCAGAGTTTTGATGGTTTTTCAGCAGTTCGGCATCTTGTGATTGTTTTCTCAGCCTTGCATTCTGATTTCTCTGCTATGAGGTGTCTGTTTTGAGATTCAAACCATTTTTTGTGCATGTTTGTTTTGGCATGACATCTGTCTTTCCACGGAGGCTGTTTACCAGACAGAGAATGTAGTGCCCACACTAAGTCTGTCTATGGGGGTGGACGACTTAAGGCAATAATAATCTATCCCAGAATGCACTGAAGCAACGACGGGTCTGTCAAGGCTTTCTCACAGAAGGAAGCGCGGTGAATGGCAGTGATGCACAAACACACCTCTTGCAGAGCTGCTTTGAAGCCTGATGCGCTGGGAGACCGGCGCTGCCAAAGGAGGCAGAGGGACAAGGATGTAGCAGAATTTTATATCCAAACAGACACAAAGGGCTAACTTTGACTTTGTTCCAGCGTTCGTCTGCTTGCCTCGGCTGCTGATGCAGCGGCTGTTGTTGTTTACACGTACACCTCTCTCTCTTTAAGTTAAGACAGTTTACCTCCAGCTGCTTTCTGCTCTTTTACATCAGATCACATTTGCAAACTTTTCCCAGTTTTGTGGAAACGTGCACAGTCCCTCGGTTGGACCAGGGGTGTCCCCCAGGTGTGTGTCAGCAGGCGGCTGTCACACAGTTTTCCCCGCTGCCAGCCCAAGTGAAATGTCATGTCCTGTCAGGAAAATTGTGAAGCCATCTCAGAGCTGAGCAGCGTGCAGAGTGTGACGTTTGGAATAGCAGGCTCCTGGTGCTTGCCTGGGGCATTGGGCCCTAACTGGGACCTCTCTGCCAAGCCTGGTGAGCTGCCAGGGCTCCTTTTTATTTCTTTCACTCACTGTCTCTCTCACTCCCTCTTTTGTCTTTTGCTCTCTCTCTTACCCCATACCTTGCCTTTGTATCCTGTGTGTCTCTTTTATGCCTTTTACACCTGGTAATAACATGCCATCTGGATTTGGATCTTTTCTGGGTAAGGAAAAACATGCACTGTCAATTCATTGCAATCGGAATAGGACTGGAACAGTTTCATATGAAGGTGGTCTGGCTTGAAATGGATCTCATCTGGGTGTAATTTAATCAGTACAGTTTGGCCTCATTTTTAAAAGGAATAATTAAACATTTGGAAAATATACGTATTTCATAGCATAACAACTGGAAGACAAGGAGTTATGTGGAGTAAAATTAAAAATAACATACGAAAACGTTATTTCTTTTTAATTAAAACATAAAAAATCTATCATTATGTCTGTGGTATCCCACATTAAGATTTGAAAATACTGAATCGGGCTAGCTTTTAGCTCCATCTCTACCTCTTTCCTTACCCTCTCCCGACCTCCCATCACTGTCTTTCTCAGTGTGTCCCAAATTTCTCTCTCCCTTTCCTTCTCTCCTCTTCTCTCCCTACACCTTTTTTGCCGCTCCCACCTATCTCTGCCTCGACTCTCCATACTTTCTATCTCTCTTCCTCATGGTGAACGAGCATCTGCTTCTGTCTCTGAGGGCCAGTAATAATGCAATGACTGGACTTGTTGAATTTAAGCACAAGAATGGATTTATTCATGTCGGCAGGTTGAACTCAAACATGCTGCTTTACCTCTCACAGACAAGAATTACCTCTTTATCACAGGGTGACGGTAACTGTGTGTTTCATTCTAACTATGTGAAAGCATCTCCCACAACAGTATTTCCATATAACGTACAATGTACATTTGACTTTAATCACTCACTAGTTAATCACTCCTGTTTAGTGTAAAAATTACAGTCTTGCCTGTAATTTTCTTTATCAGTATTCTATACAAGCACACCATCTCTACTGAACAGGTACCATTCTTTTTTAACAATGTACATTCAGTTTTATTTTCTCATCATTTTCATTTTGTTTTCTCATTCAAAAATAACAAAAGTGGAAAATATAACATCTACAATTCCATGACAACTGGAATTGACAAAATCCATCTGCTGATGAAGACCATGCGATTTTATCGATAGCTCCAGAACAACTCCAGAAAAACATTGCAACTTAGGTTTATTTTTAGGTAGAATGCACACTGACAGTAATGCATAATTTGACGGTGTGACTTTCAACACTGATTGATCATATAATATTTCTTGAATAAATAGAACCATGATAGATTACCATCAATAACATTTAAAAAAAATTTAAATTGGAATATAGGACAGAAAATTATAAAATTTACTATCGTGGAACTGTTTTACAGCCAATCAAAGTATTTTGACTTTTGTTTTTAATCTTTGACATCTTAGGTCTTTGATCTATTCTGCAGTCTGACCAAGGCCTAGATCCCATTCATCACAAGGAGATAGGGTCTTGTGTATATGGTCAAATATAAATGACATTATACATGTGCTTGAAATGTTGTGTTTGACTTCATTATGATAATGACAAGCAAAACTGAAGCTCTGTTCCACAGGGCATCATGTTAGCTCATTATGCTGTGCTAAATATTTCTAGCATGTCTCACATGTCGAAGATATTAAGACACAGTTTTAACTTGAGTGTGTAAAAAACGAACAAATGCTCAGCATGATTTGCAATCTAAGACATTTTATACAGTTCTTCAGGTGAGGGTAACAACCATTATAGCAACTGAGATACTAATTCCAGCAAACTGTTTCTGCCTTCAGCTTGATCTGTTGTGTCTATTTGAGAAATATAAGTTTCTATTGACTGTTTTGGTCACCTAGAGAGGCTTTACAAGCAGGTCTAACCTTACCCAGGGAAAAACAACTCACCTTACTTTATCTGAACTGAACTATTGTAGCAAAATCCACCCCCTCCGGTACTCCAAACAGGTCAAAACAAATACTCAGACTTACTTTCAACTATAACTGGATCAAGATCTGATCTGAACTGGTAGGATTTCCACCTGTCAGACAGATAGTCTCAGGGAAGGATGTTTGGGAAGCAGACTCACCATTGCCAGCCTTGGTAATGGCCCTGGGTATGTTTCCATTGGACAGTTCCCTATAGGGAACCTGCAGAGTGGTGTCAAGACTGCTGAAACCCTCCTTCAGAGAGTGCTGCTTGTAGTATTCCACCAAGTCCTGTGTAAAACAGGCACAATACAACAAAACACACTCTTAACAATAACAAACCAGGGTGTACAGGACATGGTATTGCGTAGAAATGTATAGAAATGGTTGGTTAGGGAGAAGCGACTTGTTTGATCTTGACACTACAACAGCAGCCCGTACTGACAAATTGTTTCTGAGCAGGGTAACTAACCACAATAGATCTTAATATCTGCCCGTTTCAATTGTAAGTACCAGAAACATAGCCTACTAATATTAGTTACTGTCATACAATACCACAGGCAGTTGTTACAATGTAGCAATAATTAGTAGACATATTTTAATCATTGTACGAAACAAAGGTAACATTTTCACTTGCATGCTGGGATTTATCTCAAGGAAGTGCGGCAAAAATAGTGTAATGTCAAAAATTATTATACTCATTAATGTTACAGCAGTTTAAGCAGCACACAAATCTATACAAAGTCAAAACATTTACCAGCACAGTCTTGAACAGGCGGCTCTCAGCGATGTAAAAACAGCAATCCTTGGTCAGAATCTTAATGTGCTTGACTTTGTCGTTGAACCTGTGGATGATGAATAAGACATTGGCTGCTAATCAACTATACATGCTTCCACACCAACCCAGGCTCTATAATGAATCATTACGAAGGCCTGCCTGAGCTGAGTTACCATGCTGAGCTGAGCCAAGCAACTTTGTTTGACAAGAACACCACTAGGTTTCCCTCCTGTGGAAATGAGATCCAATTCACTCATATCAGATAATAATAGACGCATCATGGGATTATTCAGCAGTGTCTACTTCACCACGCTTCATCATTATTACGCAGGTAATGCCTTCAAGTGAATGAGTTGTGAGCATATTGTACCAAACAATGGTTTTCTGTCTTAGACTGTATTATTTGAAATATCTTTAGAGGCATTAAGAGCTAAAAGTTTACAGTATTTAACCAGAAATTAGAGAAAGGCTGGAGAACCCGTTTTTTAATCCTTATCCTGGTAGATGCCATTTAGTGCGGTCACATAACCTGAGATAGAAACATTTATCACAGCTGACTGTGAAACATATTGTACAGTACTAGAGAGTGTAGTCCTGTGAGAATCCTAGCTCAGTATATATTGTTGAAAAATAATATGGGCAAACCTTGAAAATACATACACACTGTTCAGTACACACATAGTGTTTGCACGAGTGGGGATGTGCTGTCAAGCCGATTGCAAGCACAGTGCTATATATTGAATGTCTCCCATATGGTGATGTGCAAGTTACACTGGAGGTAGATCTGCATTCTAAATCTCCCAATGGAGTGCATAACGGATGAGAAGAATATGGTCATTCACTGATACATATTGAATATATGGTGAGTACTACATTATTGATGTGTGTTGAGTTATATGGTGCATAATACATGGAGACAGATGAATCCTGTTTGGTGAAGGCTGAGTCTTTCTTTCCTCCTTCTCTGTAGGCTACACATACACACAAACATCATTCAACATACACACACACACACACACACACACACACACAAACTGACGACTCATAGTGTTTGACATTAGACAGTTCCAGTTGATTAGTAGCAGCTCTCTGTATAAAGCTCCATTATCTCAAACGGCCATCCTGATAATGATCTTAAGCAGTGAGACAGGCAATTAGGATTGGAGTGTTCAGAAACTGACCCTGTACATCAAAGCTTTGAATGAGGGACGGTATGAGTCCACCAAACCAAATGGGCTGGAATGGTGTGTCACTGGCTAAATAGTCTTAACATCCAAACACTATTTCAGAGTGCACCCTCAATCGTTATAATCTCTGGAGCCGTCATGCCAGGTCGGGAGGACTCGATAGTCCTTTCTTTTTTTTAAAGACAAGCTTTGATGTAGCCTGAAAGATATTCACTAGTGAAATGGACAGTGTTGTACTTCAAAAGAGAGATACCGAGGAACTCAACTTGCAGATAAAGCAACCATTTATTTATTTATTTTCTAAAGGAATGGATGTTTTATCTACAATTCAAGTGCATTGCTAGCCTTTGAAATACATTTCTAAGACTGATAGCCAAAGAGCAGCAAATAATATGATGCAAAGCTATCTGGCTCTCCTTGAACACATGTCTGACGAGACAGACAATAGATGGTTTAATAGATCATCTAATTCCACCTCTTCCCCATACTGTATTCAGTTGAGATGTTTTTAGTCTCCAGCCATGAGAAAAAATCTCAAATGAACAACAACAATGTTTAGGTATGATGTAAGGTACAAATGAAGCCTGTGCCATTGACCCAGGAAGGGCAGATATTCAAATAGCCATTCAGAAAGTTTTGGGTTTCTTTTGCCCAGGTTATTCTTTCCACCTCTACCTCAATGTAATTGAGACAAAATCTTGTTTGATGACAATTGAGAAAATCAACAGCTCACTGCCAACAGTTTTCAGCAGGACTATTTCAAAATAGTAACTGGAAATCGTTTTTTAAGGGCCAAACTGAAAGGTGAAAGCCAAGTGTGTCCCTAAACATCAATGGCTGATTCATTATAAAATGAGGGTGGTTTTTTACCTTTTGACAACTTGGCTCACATACAGTGGTACAATAATTGAAACGTTTATACTGTCCCTTTTCAGGTGTTTGCATATCTAAAAATAGCAGCATTGTATTCACATGCAACCTCAGCTTTAGCGACAGCTGCGGTATAATGTCAGCGAACAGGTGTATAATCCACAACAAACAAAAAAGCACCTCTTGGCTATATTGTATCGATATTTATCCCACACAACAAATCTCATCTATTTTACAACATCCTGCTGCAGACATTGGTCAGATGTACTTTAGCACAATCATACTTTATTAGTAGTATACTTTTAGTACTTTACTGACTCTATTCAGCTCACGTATGAACTGATATGCTAACTTCATGAGTAGCTCTGATATCTCAAAATCTGGGCAAAACAATTTGCTTGGCACTACTAGGGAGTGAGTGAGAAAATGCAATTTGGGTGAAACGACCCTTTGAACTTAATTCTGTCCCCCACTATCTGAATTTCAGTATCAACTGTGATCACACACCAAGCAAACTTTTTTCATTCTTCAGTTGTGGCTGTTGCTGATTACATAGTCACTATAACTTCTTGTGTTGTTTTGACATGAGTGGAACACAGCATGATCTCTTCTTCTGCGGGCAATCCACTTGAACATTTGATGAGGTGTTGGTTTTCAGATACTGCACAATTGTTGTACAGAGCTGTTACTTGAACGTGGATATTTTGTTTGCTTGAATGACTCTTGCGTCTCGCCTCTCACAATAAAGGTGTTTTTGCCTGCTGCTGACTGCATGCACTTTGTTTGTTTCACCATTCATTGTAGTGAGTGAAAATTGTAGGAGATTTAGTTTGGAAATAAATGGAAAACAAGCCATCAGTCACTTACTTTATACTGATGGCGTATTCAGTGCACTCTTTACTCCTGTGTCGAACCAGATAGGTGCTGTTTCCTCGGTCCAAGAGCTCCACCTCAGCCTGATATCTCTCCATTGGCCCTGCAAACCTGAACCACCCGTGAACAACTACTGCACTTACACTGCAATCAATCATTCTGAACATGAGGATGAGAACAGTCAATACAATAAATAAAATAGAGTAAGAATGACTTGTGGTTATTGTTAGCAATCTACAATAATCTATTTTCATCGCTTACCAGAGCTGGGCAGAGTAATCGACAGGTTTTGGAACCTGGAATAGAAAAGAACTGTGGTTATTTTGTTTCTTAATGGAGTCAATACAGAGGGGTGGAGGTCATTTGTGGTAATGTGATATTCAAGCCACATCTAATGGCAAAAATCTGTCTTCCACAGCGAAAAAGTGCAATTGAAAAGCATTCCATACCTTTACACTAGCCATTATCCAATGAATGCATTAAAATCAAACTAAACGTGTCTTATTGATAGTGAAAAATATGCACACTTACACATGGGCAAGGCCTCACAGCGTCACTTGGAAAGAAGCCAATCTTGCTTGTCGCCAGAATTTTGCCCTGCAATGGTAACTGGCTGTTAATCATATTATATATGTCTGGGAGCAACTACACCGCTAACTCTCTCTCTCTCTCTCTCTCTCTCTCTCTCTTCCCCTCCCACACTTGCTTCAATAAATCCTCAGCAATTAGCACACAACAAGCAGTGCCTCTAATTTGCAGCCCAAGTTAATTATGGTTCAAACTCTGCCGGCAGTTAGATTTGTACTGCATCAAAACAAGAGCCTCGTTTAACACTAAATAATGGATCTTATTCTGGTCTTTGAATATCCAAACAGCATGAGCTCTCTGGCTTGCACTAAAGACTAACAAATGCATTTTAGCTAACCCGCCTCAAGCAAATACAAGCTTGATATGAAAATCATTAATTCCTTCAACAAACACAGTGTAGACAAACATTCTTCTCCAGCTAAAAAAAACTAATTGGTTAAACAACACACTTACACAGATTTGCTCCTGTTTAGATGTTCAGTTTCATAACTTAAATTTTATGTCATGTACATTATCTTGTAGACAGTAATAAGCACATATATCAACATTAAGCGCAAGATAATTTGAGTTTCCAGTTCTGAGTTTGAGGTCAATTTGAAGTCCATTGAGTCAATCTGAGAAGACAGTGAGTGTTGAGGGCATGTGGAGCTCTTCATTCAGCTTCCTGCCCTGTTTATCCTTTCCTCCTCACTCCTCTTTATTAGAGTATGAAATGCTTTTTGGGACCGTGCAAGCCCCGGCAGTAACTAGATTGGAAAGCGAATCTTTACCCATCTCTATGATTCATTCTGTGTAATAACATTTCATCAAAGGTATTTTGAGAGCCCCTCTCTATTTGTTATGCCTTCGATAAGCGTATGATAAAGATTAAACTTATTACTCTGTTGGCATAAACAGGCAGCCGCCAAAGGATCAAATGAAATTACAGTGATTGATTGTATTGTTCTGCCAGTGGGACGGGGGATAATTGCCTCCTGGGTAACAGGGGATATGAATTCTCAATGTTCTGTAATTCTATCCTCTGGCGCCACTAGGGACCCTGAAGATTAAAGATACCCTGTGGAGCTTTCATTGTAAATAAACGCGTTTTTGTTTAGATTCAGTGTTTCTCACCAAAACACATTGCTTGTGACCGAAAACACTTGCACAGCCTTATTTTGTATAATCTGTATTGTTTATATCAGATTGTGGTCTTCTTTATCTTCTTTTCTTTTGTCACACTGCATCCGTCCTACATTTTGTACCTCATTACTGCTACCAACTGTTGATATCGATTACCACCATCTGCAGAATCTTTGCAGATATATGTGAATCTTTGAAAACACATAAACACAGACGCCAAACCATAAATATATTTAAAAGGACAACATTTTGATCATGATGTATGGTTTGGAGTCAAAGTTGTTACTTTTTCTTCAATTCTGTTGTCCAGTAGCTAAAACATAGGCGCACACATAGAAAACTGGAATTTGAATTTTTGTGTCTGATTTACCAGATAAAAATTATTACAGAAATTTTAAATTTCTGTGAAAACAGCATGTAAAATCTGCATTAAAAAAAAAACAGAGCTAAATATCAAACCAAACTGCATTAAGTGATTTGCCACAAATAGATGGTCAGCTAGACAGCTTAGCTAGCTGGTGAATTAGCCAAGGCTAGCAGAGCAGCTATAGATAAAACTAAATTTTCTTTATTAGCAGTTATTTCTTAATGAAAAATTTCCATTTTGATGAACCAACATCTTATGTTCAGTTTATTATTTCACATAACTAAATGAGGCAGTAGCTAAATCCAATAATGAGGGAGAAAAGTAGAGCTAAACTAGTCCTGCTAAAATATATATAACATATTTAAATGTATTAAATTGTATACAGATTCATTATATTGAGTTTGTATATTGAATAGTAAATAGAAAGACATATTTCATTTGAACTATAGACTGAAATAATCAAAATAAATTTAATTCACTTCAATAAATTAGTTAAAATGAAAATGAAAGTTGAAAGAACACATTTTGTTTGTAGACTGAATTTTCTCTTCACATTCCCTTTTACTCAACTTCATTTGGATCTGTTGTTATTGCTCTCTCCCTTTATTAGACACTTCAGAAATCTGCTTTTGTCAACCCATGCTCGTGCCATGCATACACGTCTTCTTAATGTGCACTGATAAAGCAGCGTTATATGAATAATGGGAATTTGCTCATCAAAACATTGTGGCCTTATTATAGTATCATCATATATACAGAACAGGAATACACACAAATGTGTATTATCATTAAATTAATTTTATTGTCCCCTCCCAGCATACATAGTTGCCACGGTAGCAAACAATGCAGTGCCATCAGGTCTGCGGCATGACATTCTGCTAGCCGTTCTTTCGGCTTACAAGAAGTCTCCTGGCATTCATGCCCTCAGCCTCCACCTTGTGCTCTGTCACAACAGAGAGAAACATGGAGCACAGGAAATCAAGCTAACAGCCAACTCCCAGCTGTGCCGTTGGCAAAGACTGCAGTCTGATTGGAGCAGCACCAGAAGGAGGATGAGGCTTTAATGCCGCCGTGAATCAGAGGGAGAAACATCTAGGGAGGCTGCCGGAAGACCCCAGATAAATCGCCATCCTTTCAAAAATAGATAAGGTCAAGCGCTGTCAACAGTTTGTTGACCTCGTGAGATGGTTGCTAAATGTGCCTATACATGAGGTTGTGCACCACCATTAAAACATCCTCCAGAGGCTGAAGTGTCTGCTGTGTTATAGTCTTACTGTGGCACTCAATTAATCAACTGAAGGCACTAATTGGTTAGATCATCTGATGTAGGCTGTGATTCAATCTGAGGAGTGAAAGAACAGACAGATAACCCGTTTGTAATGTAACTAGGGATCTGTGGAGTTCATAGAGATCTTCGACTGATATTTCTAATTCACGCTGACCTCATCATGATGCCATATTTATGGCTCACCTAAAAGGATGCAGAATGTGATAAACAACTGCAATATCATATGTGATTAATTGCCAAAGGGAGACTAATTGTCACCCCTTTGTTCTTTGTCAGATTTTGGGACATCCAGCAGGAGAGAGAGAAGAGATGAGGCGCAGCGCTGATTCAAACCCATGACACTGCAAAGACATTGCGTGCATAGAGCCAACCCAGTGAGCCGTAACATGTACGTTTTTCAGAGAGTCACAGATGTTGAGATGAAACGAGGATGAGCTGAGTGACACACACCTGCCACCAGGAGCTGTGCAGGTCGGCAAATATCAGTTCAATGACATCCCCCGCATGAATGCTTAGCGGGGGCCCACACTGGGGACAGGGAATGCCACTGTAGTCTTTGATGACAATCATCCTGGGTAAACCTAGCAGACAGGGAATACAAATACATTTATTCTCACATATTTAGAGGAACATACAGCAGTGAGACCTTGTACAGCCTGATAGATTCATCATTAGTTTACGTTACACCGGCATGACAGAGACTTTTTTGAAAATTACATGGCGAAGGGGGCACTAATGATGAGATCTACTGTCAGAAAAAATAGAAGGCATTGCACAGAGTGCTGTGTTGCTCATGACTAAAATGGAAAGCTCAGATACTTGAAGTACTCTGCTAGAAGTGTAGGGTTACACTGGATGTTGATACATTTAATCAGTGAAATCTCTGAATTAAAATGTGTTGCACAACCAGCATCATTTGATGGGTGTGGTCAGAAGTTTGCCCTGTTTCACCTATAACCACAGCCAACAGCAATGTCATGGTGTACTGAAAGACCCTGGACCCTCTGTATCACTGCAGCAAGGTGAAAAGATAAACTACTGGTGGTTCCAAAAACAAGATTATTGTCTGCTGCTTTTTTTCAATGTTCTGAGCACGAAAAAACTAATTCCCCATCACAAATGCACTGTACTGTATCACTAGAGGTGGGTGGGAAGTTTTTATTTTATTTCAATAATTATTCATATTACTTGCACTAAGCAAAATTCTCTTACTGTCATTGGCCTAAAGATTTCTACCGTTGATTGCTAACATGTACATAAATGTTTACGCCCTGACGGTCTTTTTGATTGAGGTCTAAACCGCAACAATGGCTCCATCCTAAAAAGGCGCCCTTTACTCTCGCAGGAAATTCATCTCTTTGATTCCTATACGATGCAGCTCCAATCCTTCCTCAGCGTGGCAGACAAATACAGCCACAAGCATCCGGCTAAGGCTAAGACTTAACACCCCTGCCAACTTAAAAGACACAGCCACTTACTCTCCCCAGACTTCCCCTCCCTCTCAGACACATCTCCCTTCTAGCCATGGCTCCCCTGCAAACCAGAGCCTGAGGAAACTATTTGCTGACGGTGACCTAAGATGAATGGATATCTCATATTCATGTTTTTAATAAGAACAATAAGCATGGATGTCTCTCTCATAAAGCCCCTTATGGAAATTGATTTATCACAAAGGCATAGCTCAGCGTTTGAGGCTGAGGCATATAGACTGCTGGAAGTGCTTTTCTGCCAGCATTTCTCCTGCCGTGGTCCTCATAATGATTCCACCCACTCCAATTCATCTCAATGTCGTCTTGGGTTTAGGCATCACAGCATGAGAAAAGGGGTTTTTTTTGTGTATTGGTTAAGGATTCCTTCTGCATCCTATTATTCATTGGATATTTTCACTAAAATATATTTGTCAAGAGGAAACTGTTGTTGCTCATTTCCTCCTTTGAACTCTTTGTGTGAACAGGAGAGATTCATGTCAGTGCATTTCTAAGAAAACATCTTGAGGGTTTTTTTGGGCATAAAAAAAGACAGAGTTGAGTAATATTTAATCAAAAATGAGAGGGGGGTATGATAACATCTGAGGGTTAGTTTTAAACCACCATCTAGCTCCTCCAGGTCTCACTCTGGCCTCTGACTAACCATCTCCTTTTCATCCTGTCTGTGTATCTGTTTTGTTACAGAACAGAGATGAAAGCAGCTTAAGATGTACCACATAAAGCCCTTAGCAGGTTCACAAAAGTGGGAAAGTGGTCAAGCCATACTGACCTGGGTCTGGTGGTGTTGTGCTTTCCTGTAGAAAGTAGAGAGAAAGTAAGTAAGACAGAGAAAAGGCAAGAAAGAGAGAAAGAATTAGTTAAAGAGGAAAAGATTGATAAATATGAAGAGTTCATTCTTACACCTAGTGCAGGATCAGCATGACCTGAAGAATGATTACAATCATCTGTGTACTAGATCTGTGGTCTTACCATATTAAAAATTATAGGCAGAGAGCTTATATCATTGAATATCCATGTATTTACAGATTATAACTTAACACAGTCTTAGTCTAGTATTAGTCTGGCGGCACACATGTTAGTGCTGTGTTCATATGATTAGGAACATTGAGGATACTATTAAAATAAACTTTTAAACATGAATATACAGTGTCAACAATACCAGCAGCTCCTTCAACTTTGCAACTTTACAAGTACAAACTATTCACCAGCATTACCGATTGTTGAACTAATTGTTGATGTCTTTGTCCCCTTGTCAATAGTCGAATGAGTATATGTGAACTCTGTGATATCTGCTATGTTATGCTTCACTAATCATGTTAGCTTTGGTGTCTAGGTCAAAGAAGAGAAACAGTCCAGGTTTTACCTTGGGCTTCGGCTTGGCAGAATCTGCAGTCAGATGAGAGACAAACACAGTGGGATGAATACGATATCAGTGTGTGGTGGCTTCCTGACATACAACCTCAACTGTCAACCTCTGCTGGCCCTCATCACGCTTCAGAATGCATAAAGACCACAGCACTTCTGCTAAGAAGGCTTGTCAAAGGCCTGAGCTTCCTTTAGCTACAGCCTCAGACTGGTGACAAAGAGATAAAGCTTGACATAGGCTGCAACACAACAACTGCTAAATACATATAAGGCGTAGTTTAGCTTTCAATTAAACAACTACTAAAAGGTTACAGTCAAAGTCAAAACATCAAGTGGAAATTTGAGCCTGAGGGCGACAAAGTAAGGGAAGGTCTAAGGGTTACCACATTCAGAGAGATTCTTTTCTTGGATACTATAAAATTTACAACACATTTATACCAGCAGTAAGATATCTTATGTATAAGGTTGGCACTCTGGCATGACTGTGTGGTGCTAGAGGAAAGCTCATTGGGTGTGCCAAAATGTAAAGGGGTCCCCATCTAGGGAGCATGAATGTGCTCAGTAAATTTCATGGCAATCTGCCTTTTAGATTTTGATATTTTGTGTGTATAAGTGGAAATTGGGGCTTGATGGTGGCGCTAGAGGAAAGGTCACCAAAAAATGTGGATATATTCTCTGAGGGATCTCTTGTTACAGTCCAAAGTCCTCAAAAAGGTGAAACACAATCAGTTTAGGAGGGCTGCATCTCACCTGTTCTCCCACAGACTCCCAGTCGACCCAGACACTCCTTATGAGCCCCCAGCCCGCATTTTTGACAGAGATAACCCTGGTTAAAGATGCCCCTGGACACGATAAACCATAGGATATATTTCATGTATAACAGCCTCCTTAAGAGAAATACCTTGACATTTTGAATTTTCAGGCTTCTGTCACAGTCCCATGATAAGAAAAATTACACAAGAAATGTCCTTCAGCTTTCCGAAACCATAAAACTGATACTGTCTGCTGAAAAGTGAGACAGCTTACAGTCTGTAGTCCCTATTCATTTCAGTGCTAATAAGCCATTTCCAGTTAAGTGAGAGGCTAAATTTAAAAAATGTCCTTTTCCCTAAAGTGCCTGAGGTAAACTGACTGAAGACTGCAATGTAAAATGTCATGGTGTTCCTTTCATACTTTCAATATGTAAAAGATTTGAAAGTGTACTTTCCTAAGAACAGAAAAACAGTGCAATAACACAGGATGATTTGCCTTCCTAGAACAATGTGTGTAGTTCATTTTCACCCTGTCTCAGACGTGGGATTAAGTCTCACGTAGAAACATGTTTACTCTACTTCATCGGGACACATAATTATCCAAAACAGAACAGTCTGTTCATAATGCCTGAATATTACCTGAGCAAGAGATGACAAAAACTACAGGAAGTGATCCTTTCAAAGGTGTGCATCTTGAACTGATGGGAGTTGTGGTTGGCTTTCTCTGGTCGGATATTTGACCTGAAAACAGGAAATAAGATTACTGACACAAAAATGAAAACAAGATTCTACAGCCACACTAGTGGCTCTGTGAAGTAGTACTTTGGCACAGATGTGTTTTGAGCTAAATGCTAATGATGACATACTAACATGCTGATGGTTTAATGTTTACCATGTTCACAATCTTGGTTTTGGGTTCCTGCAGAATGATACCATGTGCTAATTAGCACGGAACACAAAGTACAGCTGAGGCTAATGGAAATTAGCTTTAAAAAATTGCCCTGATGATGTCACTAGATGAAAAGATTACGAAAGCTAATACAATTTATCCTGAGGGATACCTATTCATGGTGTTAGAGCCATGCTTCTAGCATGGCTAAAAGATATGTGCTAATTATGTTTGTGTGTGTAGAACAGGGGTGCAATCTTCTTTCAATTTACTCAATATACAAACCATTCTCAATGATTTCTTTATCTGAATAAATGAATAAAACAACTCTGTTGTGGCAAAAACAAGCTGCAATTCATTCCTTAAACTGACTGAAATGAAAGTTATTTCACTCCCAGTGCACGTATATGTGTAAATGAAGAGGACTTGAATCGGCCAAATACAATTTTGAGCTGCATGTGTTCAAATGTGAGAGGGAAAACATGCATAGCAGAAACAAGCAGCCTTTCTAGAACAGGAACAAACACAACTGACACAAAAAACATCTTTTTGCATTGAACACACCATCCAGAAGCCACTTAAACTGAGTGCTCCCATAAGTGAGCCCTTCATCGGGAGCCCACATCCTCTCTACAGGTACAATTTTCACTTTCTGAATGGGCCCCTTTTGGTGTCATTACCCAATGCACAGAGGCACACAAAGCTGTTTTCAGACACAAACCCTGTATCTGTGGGAAAAAATAACTCTTTCAAGAAGGATGTGAAAATGGTTATTTCTTCTTTAAATTCTACACGAGGTTTTGAGCAGGGGGCCCGGTGGTCATGTTTGTTTATGAACTCATATATACGTGACTACTTACAGTTCAAGTTAGAGAAAGAAAAGCACTTAACTTGCACACTGTTAAATGTACATCCCCACACACTACATTGTTTTGCTACAGTGCCTGTATCAAATATAATCCAGCCCACTATGAGAAGTGAAATTGTATTCAGGAAGACCATAGCAGGTAGCCAGCATGCATATCAGGGAAGTTTTCATACATATCCACCCCAAACACAAAAGCATTTGTTCAGTCAATCCAAGTGTAATGTCAAAACAAGACTCTATTCTCCTGAATCAACATAACAAAGGATGCGGAAAGGATATCTGCCAGAGAAAACCTCCCACTGTTACAAAATAATACAAAAGATATACCTCCATAAAGCACTGATTTGACTGAGTGACTTCTTTGTAGTTTTGCAGCTCTTTGTAACAGTTTATGTTTAGTGTGCGTGTGTGTGTGTGTGTGCGCGCGCGCGTTATTGTACTGTTTTCAGCAGTGTGAATTTGATTACAGCAAAGACCTGATCAAACAGTGCACATGAAAGAGTCAACACCTCTCTCGGCCTTGGAATAACATGCACAAAAACAAAGACAAATAAACAGAATACACACACACACGCACACGTACACAATTTGTTTTTCCTATGATACACACTGGTCTTCTGCATTGATAACAAATTGTCATGACTGTGGTGTCCATGTCTCTTGGTACTTACATGGCCATTTCAAACTGATCCAACCACTTCTTCTTCAGCTCTCTGGTCTTAAAAAAGAGTTCAAAGCCTGTGTGCCCCTGCTGATGAGTCACGTAGAACCCGTAGCACCACTGTGGAGGTCAGGAAGAAGACATCAAACTGAATGTGTTTTCTCATGAATGCATATGGACATTTGCATATTTATGTATAGAATGGAAAATTAATTATACTGTACATGCAGGATGTATGACACAGCTGGCCGCCAAATATCTACAACCATTGCAGCACTTATGGGTTAAATGCCTTGCCCGTGGGCATATTTGGAACGATTTTCAATCAGTTCCCCAACCTCTCCGCTTCCGCTAGCCTAATCTTTGCCAGTTTGCTGTGTCATATCTAATAACAGGAAAAGTTGTAGGGTTTACCCGCCAGTGATTGGCCAGCCCTGCAATGTCCTGAGTGTTTTAGAGCTCTGCTGAGTGTTAAATCATTGATGACTCTGTGAGTGCTCCATGGCACCACATTCACACTCTGAAGTTTCATTTAGCAGAAAATGATATATGGCTATAAGCAGCCTTGGAGGACTGTGCACATTCATCACCTAATATTAGCATGTCTGTCCTGCGGTGTGGTGTTTTGTGGGTGTGTACTGGGGTGGATATAGGTAGACAGTGTCTGTGCATGTCTGTGAATATTTGTCTTGTCTGCGTCTCGCTACAAACTAATTCTTGTACTAGTGCCTCTGTATTTTTGTGCAGCAAAATGTGGTGGACGGGATAACAATCAAGGGTTATTGTGAGGGAATTTTCTTAGTAGGCGTCATTCAAGTAAAAGTTAAGATACGGCTCATGTACCGCTATCACACTCAGGGTCACTAGCAGACCCCAAAAGTGTAATGCTGTCTGCACTTGGGATGAAGACGCTATAGTTCTCATGGAGATTTATGTAGAACTCACTGTAGCTGCAGATTGGAGTGCAAATACGTGGGACCATTAATTTTCAATGTCACGTAACTAATGCATTGGAGTCTAAATACCAGTAGATTGGCTGGTCAGATTTAGGCGAGTTAAAGATAACCTTGTATTTGGTTTGATTTGGTTTACTATTATGCTGTGTTCGCACACTGTATGCTGTTACCAGTCTCCCCAGCTGGGCTCAATAAACAATGCTGTGTAAGTCGTCATGAGTCTCAGAGAACTTCATCACAGGCTCACTTTATTTCCACAACAGTAATGATGTATCGTTATCACATGTTTAGTACAAGCTTGTTCGTTTAGAGATAGTGTTAGAGACAACCCTGAATAATACCAAAACACACCCATAATCCCCAAAAAACACATCAAGACCATATACCAATCACTGTCATACACATGTCCCACACAACACTGGAATAAACACACATACACACATCATCATGATCAATCAAACATCATGATTGCACAATAGAGTAAATGAGGATGATAATGGAGTCCCTTTCATAAAAACCACACAACCATCCCATTCTGGCACTTTGTCAGTTTCACATTAGCAATCAGCAGCGGAGTGAGAAGACACCATCTGTGGGCATACATCAGCAAGACATCAACAAGTCCGCTCCACTACAATATGGCTTGCGAACATTCCCACAAGGCGAGAAAGAGCATACTGTATAAACTGTATGGGGTGACGAAAGGGAGCCTTGCAGGTTTCTAAATCAAGATTTTTCAGAACGGAGAAAACACAACTGACCATATGTCAGAAAAGGAGAATATATCATATATCTAGATTACTCATATCAGGCATCGCACATTTAGTTTGGCAAGTAAATCTGCAGCCAAAAAGATGTTGAATAGCAACATTTCATACAGTACAGTAGTTTACTGGTGCTGTAAAACTAATCAAAATGTGAGGTCGATACAGATAGTGAAAGCCAATCTTCAATGCAATGCAAAGTGAGCAAATACTTATATACAAGTGCAGCATCTGCTTTTGTATGTGTCTAATAGAATATTGTGTTCTACCAGCCAACTGACCTTTTTACTCTCTCTGTCCGAGGTTGGGTTGTTTGTGATCTTGAAGAAGTTGAGGTCGAGTATGTCCTTCATCTCATAGTTGTCTCCTCTTCGCTTGCAAACAATGGCAGCCACATCAAATAAAAAGATGTGTCTGTAAATTAAGAAGGCAGAATGTTATGCTGTTCTACTATTATAATATTGTATATTCATTGTTGTTTAGAGTTGTTGTAAATTACACAGTAAATGTGGCGTCGGTGTGTCTGAGCAAGTATTCTCCTTATTTGCTCTATATGAGAATACACACCACTGCTATTTGATCACAGGTCTTATGTACTTTTTTGGCTTTTAAGCTGTATTCACCGTATTTACTGTGTTCAACAGAAAAACTGATCTTTGCACACCTGTATTCAGACAGGTGTGTGGGAAAATCCAAGTAACGAAAAAGCAGGTCTTGCTGTCAACACTTGTGGTAAATGTATTGAATAGGTATTTTTCAGTAAAGCGACCTTCATCAAACATTTCATGTGTGCTTTTCCTGTCTGCAATCCTGATGTATTTTTCACAACAATGAAATAGAACAACCTGTCTTGTTTCCTCTTGTCAACACTGGAGACTATGCGCACTTCTCCGTCACCTTTTGGTCGACCATAGCTGATTAGAGGCTGATTCTGAAAGTAAAATAAGAGAGGGTTAAAATGAACATGAACTGTGTATGAATTATATATGAAATAAATGCATCAATTGGTAACCCACTGTAGTCAAGGCACAGTTCAAATTAGTTAATGTTAAGTTTTTAGCATGAACACATTTTGCACAATCAATTTCTCGTTTGTCTCAAGCTTTGAAAACGCATACACATCATATTTTTCAACACTTTGATGCAGAACTGGGATCCACCAGATCCTCTACTCTATTAATCTTGTTTAAAAGAAGATCTGGGTATTTCATGAACATTAAACAGAGCTTTTGAAAATAATCAACACTTTTTAATTCACAGTTCCTGTGACACGCCATTCCATTAGATTTGTCGCAGAAGATCTCTGAGCTGCTTAAAATGTGACCCAGATCAAAAACCCTTATTTCAGCAGAGGGATCCAACAGACCCCTCTACCCTCACATTACTAGTTTACTTCTTTCCTCTAAACCAGTGCATATTAACATAGTCACAGTAAAATATAATAAGTTCTGGCACCATCAGCTGGTAAGTATCACCTGACTCTTGTTATCACCATTGATTTTCACTCAAATCACCAACTTTGTCTAATCAAGACAAGCAGCTCTGCAGCTGGTTACACTTGTTTTCCAACCTACAACTGGTTCTCTCAACTGATTTCTTCCTTCTCCACCTTGTCTCATCCTGTTCTGCTTTCTTATTACCACTTGGTGAGGGCATCTATTTCCATATGTATGATGTGTATTGCATATATTTTGCCTTCCATATGATATGCTTCTGGCGGGATCTGCTTTGTATGCGCATTGGCATATAAAGGATCATTTGAATCAGCTGTGTTGGAGCAGGGAGCGATCTAAAACAATCAGGACAAGGGGTACTTCAGGAGAGGTTTGGGAAACGCTCAATGTCATTGATCAACTAATCATTTAAGCTCTAAATTTGTATAATATGTTAGAAGGGTTGAATGGACTTTATCGTTATTATTCTTAACAAATGATTTCTGACAAAGGAGAGAAAAAAAAAGAAAATATGTAATGATTCATCCCTGAAGTGAGTAGTTGATAACTATCCAGGTGAAATCAGTAAAGTATGTTGTGCCTTTTACCTGCATTAACACTTTAAGTCAGTAAAGACAGTGAGGAGCAGGTGTCTAAGTTGTTGTTACGTACTGATTCCCTCAGACTATACCAAATTTGGAGGATGGCTGAAACTTGACTTTCAAAGCCGACTGTCTACAAAAAGGAAACAACATTTCTTCCTGATATTTTGTACTCTTATAAAGTGTCTTCGAACAGCTGCTGATAGTTGTAGAAAAATATTTTTGGTTTACCAGGTTTTCAATAGACCTCTGGTACTGGTCGATCTCCCTTAGAGTCTCATTATCTCTCTTCACCTCGTTGACATACTGAGCCAGGTCCTGGGCAACACAGACACACAAACACACATTTTGTTGGGTTAGTTTAGTCTGGAGGTAGTGAAATATGTCAGAAAATTCAGGACGGATTTCTTTTTAAAGAGACAGGCTAGCTTATCTCAGCTCAGCATAAAGTCTGAAAGCAGGGTGAAACAGCTAACCTCTTAAAACCAAAGTGTAAAAATGACAAGTTGATGTTGCACAGGGGATATGTGAGCACAGAACTCCAAATGAAACCAAAGTTTTTGGTACAGATTAAATAAGCAAGCTATAAAGTGTCAATTAATTAGTGAGCTTTAGAGGCTACAGATTTTCTTACCTCTGGGAAGAGCCATACTAGCCAATTCACCCTGTTTCTAGTCTTTAGCTTTATGCTAAGCTAAGCTAATTGGCTGCTGGCTGTAGCTTCATATTTAACATACAGAAATCAGAGTCTTATCGATCGAGATCTTATCGATCAAACCCATCTACCGCTTGGTAAGAAAGCAAATAGTACATATTTCTTTTCTATTTGAATTTTATACACGTATTTTATGTTGTAGGATGTCTTTTCTGCTTCTGTGAGCCAAGCTTGCATGCCATGTAAATACTGTAATGAGTATGAAGCTTTGAAGTAGTCTGAAGTTATGCATTTCCTGCATTTTTGTTGCTAAGTCCTCAAATCAGCTGCCTATCAAGTGCTGGCTCCCTTCAGGACTGGAAAAGCAAAGGGGGCACTCAGCACTCACTAATGTGATGTAAATGTAAAGTTTTATCAATTCACACCAATTTGTAGAAAAGAAACATGAACAAGTTATGACTTCTTTTTTTTCATCTAATAACGGATGATAGTTAAGTGGCAGAGTCTGTTTGGAATCTTCCGCTAAAATCAGCCTGCTATTGGTAACAAGCTGAAATCACAATGATTACAGACCATTTACCGTAAGCACTGCACTTACTTTCATGGCATCAAGAGCGATCTTCAAGTTGCTCTTGTCAGCAGCATCGTGAGTGTGTTTGACTAGCTCCTGTAATAGGAGTACAGAAAAGACAGGATGGACTACATTCACACACAAAACTCAAGCAAACACATTTAACATGAGTAGCAGGATTATCGATTTCATAATAAAGATTACTTTGCCACCATGTAGTTTTCATAACAAAAAAAAACTTGTAATCAGAAGACAGGCTATTTACCTTATTCAATCTTATGTGACGGTAAAATAGGGAATTTTGAGATCATGTTTGGCAAATGTGCTTGAGTTGATACCATACAAATCACATATTTACACTTGAAATAAAGCTAAATAGAAACAGACACAGAGAAAGTTTTCTTCTGATTTGTTTTAATTCGTAAGGAATATAGTAATAATATATTTCATGAAGTTGTAGAACTAAAAGCAGTGATGGACTGCAACAAAGTAAATGTACTCAATTACTATATTTAAAGTTTTGAAGTAATTTTACTATGTCCATTTTATGCTACATTATACTTTTTTACCTTACTAGATTATTTGACAGCTATACCTCCTAGTTACTTTGCAGTTTAAGACATAACTTGCAACACTTATTATTGGTTAGTAAAATATGATGTATGCACGCCAAAGTTCACAACGTTCTGTGCCTGGACCAATTTTATTCACCTTATATATACTTCCTTTATACAGTATTATCAGGAAACACTCCATAAACTTTCATTGTTATGCGGATAGTATCCAATTATATCTATATATCAAGCCAGATAAAAACAGTTTGTCAGACTTCAAGCATGCCCCATAAAAACCTGGATGACCTGCGATTTATATGATGTTAAACTAAACAAAACTGAAGTTATTGTACATGGCCCCAAACACCTCTGAAAGACATTATGTAATGATATAGATACTCTACATGGCATCGCCCTGGCCTACAGCACCACTGTAAGGAATCATGAAATTATCTTTGATCATGATATGTCCTTTAACTCCCACATATAACAAACTTTCAAGGACTGCTTTTTTCACCTAATTAGCATTGAAAAAATCATCCTGTCTCAAAATGATGCAGAAAAATTAGTCGACTCATTTGTGCTTTTATGCTGGATTTTCACGATTCGTTATTATCGAGCTGAACAAATAAGTCCCTTAAGTGATCCAGAATGCTGTAGCATGTGTTTTGACAAGAACAAGGAAAAAATACCATATTTCTCCTGTATTAGCTTCTCTGCACTGGCTCCCCGTAAAGTCCAGAGAAGAATTCAAAATCCTTCTGCCCACCTACAAAGCCCTTAATGGTGAGGCACCATCATATCTTAAAAAGCTCATAGTACTTTACTACCCTACCAGAGCACTCCGCTTCAAGAAAGCAGGGTTACTTGCGGTTCCTAAAGTAGAATGGGAGCCAGAGCGTTCAGCTATCAAGCTCCTCTCCTGTGGAACCTAGTTTGGGGTCAGGAGGCAGACACCATCTCCACATTTAAGATTAAGCTTAATAAGAAGTTCCTTTTTGATAAAGCTTATAGTTAGGGCTGGCTCAGGTGAGCCCTGAACCACCTCTTAGTTCTGCTGCTATAGGCGTAGACTTATGAGAGACTTTCCTTGGTGCACTGAGCTCCTCTCCCTCTCCATCAGTACACATTTTTACCCAATTAATGCATGTTAGTATTAAACTCAACATCTTCCCTCTCCTGTAGTTTTGTGCTTTCTTGTCTGGCCCTTCTCTCTTTCTGTCGCTTTCTGCGGGTGCTTCAGCCTCCGGAGCTGTAGAGTCGGAATTTATGATTGCAAGCCACCTACTGCCCCCATGTTCCTGCTCGACACCGGCTGCCGCAATTAAATTTATTAGTCATATTATGAGTATTATTATTGCTATCATTATTATTACTATTATTTTATTTATATTCGTATTATTACCAGTATGGTCTAGACCTGTTCTCTCTGAAAAGTGCAATGATGTAACCTCTGTTATGAATTGGCACTATACAAATAAAATCAAATTGAATAAACCCGATAATATAGAAGGTAGTTAAAATTGGCTCCACCTCAACTAGCTCCAACGTGAAAATAGTGCTTACTCATTAATTGATCAGTAATGATGATCAAATAATATGCAATAGTAAAACACTTTGATGTAATAATAATGTAATTTGTAATAATACTTTTAGATTGTTTTTTTGTTTTCAGTGCTTTTACTTGAGTGTGGAATTGTTGTTGTTTGATTAATCAACACATGGAAGTTATTTTGGGGACCAGACTGAGTAATTTCCATAGCAAATATAATTACATATTGTAACATCATTTCGCCCGATGTCAGCTGTGAGTGGCTCTAGCCCCCTGCGACCCTGTACGTAGAATAAGTGGTTGATGATGGATGGATATAACATCATTCTGTGCTAGTTAAAAGATCATTTTCCCCATTTCATGGAAAAGTGCATATCGAAGCATCATGCTTATGTTTTGTTGTAGCTTACATTTGATTTTTGTTTAATTCTCAACAGATGCTGCTTGTTAATGAGATGCTGCCGATACTGTATTTGCTGTGTAACATGTGCTGTGTATAGTAGATAATGATACCATCAAGACTTTATCATAATTACAGCGATATGTACATTACATCTAATATCTCATATAAAAGGTGGGTAGAATCACTTTAGGCCTGTTTACCCTTCATTAAGCTCTCTAATTGCATTACAAAAGAGAGAGAAGAGATTAACTATTTCTCCACAGAGCTACTGTACAGTGCTGCTTCCTTGCCAAGCTGTATCCACTCTCACTTCATTTCTGCTTGACCATTTCCTTTCTTCTTCTTCTTCTCCTTCTTTCCTTTTTACCCTCTTTCCAATGTATCTCTTCAGGGAGGTGGCCAAGAACACCCAGGATCACAACCATTTACCATGGAGGTCTTTATCCTCCTTAACAATTTAAAATAGCTCTCTAGTCATTGTCCTCATCTGCCCCGCCAGCTATAGTCTGACCTCTGATTCATACTAACCAAGGGGAGACGGTGTCACACATTTAGGCTGTCAGTAGCCAGTGAAATTGGGGGGCATGTCTGTTTTTTAAGGAAGCTACATTGCAAGACATGTCTAAGTTTAAGAACTGTTGTCATGTATAAAATCAATAAGTAATGTAATCATAACTTCACTTGTAAATCTATTTTGCAGTCAAGTCACAGACACCCCGGGACTAAGTTCAATCCAGAACATCTTCCCCTTAAAATGTCTTGTTTGAGTTCTGGAAATTCTGTACACTGAAAGGTATTGATACAGATTGAAATTATGTTACTTCATTTATTCACTGTACTTTCTTTGAGAGGAGTGAGATATGAAGACTAAAAGTAAGATCTGTCAAAACAGATGGTGTTTTTGCAGCTCCACTCTGCTATGATGCTGGGAAGGAAAGTAAACATTAAGTAAAAATGTGGAGAATGTCGCCCTCAAGTGGCAATTTTTATACTCAAAGAACAACACGATTAAGTTGTACCAGTAAAAATAACTTTGACAAATCCGCCTGGTGCTCAGTCTCACATGAATAAAAATTATTATATAATTGTTATAAAGTAATAAAATAAAAAAGGCATGGATGTTAATACTTATTCCTGCTACAACAACTACTGTTGGCCTCGAGTAAGGCAATAAGTCCCAAATGTTCTAGTGGAGCTACTAATTAAAACCATTAGATGAATAAAGTTGGGTTTTTTTTAAGTGGCTTGCTGAAAAGTAGCACTGACATTCAGCAAATGCATTGAAAAATGACTAAATATTTCTTTTTTTAACCTTTATTTATTTCAGGAACACCGTGATCACATTTACACACTCACACCTGGAAGCTGTGAAGTGCAACCACAGTATGATCTGCTGGCCATCGAGCAGCTATGCAGTTGGAGTAGGGGCCTTGCTCAAGGGCACCTCACTGGTGGTGATGAAGGAGGGGCTGCTTTTCACTTTCCCCACTCATATTTAAATCAGGGCTGTCAAAACAAGTGTCAAGACCGAGATTCAGGTGATTTCACACTTATATACTTAGGGGGCTGATCTAAAATAAACTGCTTTCTTTTAAAAACCCAGCAGACTCTCACTTTTCCATGACATGTGGTTTAACACTCACGCTTTAAATAAATGGTGCCAAGCCTACCCTACCTGAAGAAGTAGATGGTACTTGAGGACTCTCTGCATTGGGACAACCAGCAGGTCCCTCAGTGTAAACTTCCCATTGTTGGCTCTCTTTGAGCACTCCTGGAACAAATACAATACACATATTCATAGCAACATGAGCTACAGAGCAGGAGCATTACGCAGATGACTTGTGACTTATGACAGTCATTCTTTGATGTCACTGAGACTTTTTCACAAGGATGGGTCAACCAAGACAGAAAACATTTGTTAGCTATAGCTTATATGTATCTGTCCTCATTTGTCTTTGGGTCCAAGTTTGTCACAAACCAAATTGCCACGTGAAATTGAGCATGAAATATTTTTGTTTCCTATTATATTCATATTCTAGCATGCACCGAGCCCACAGGTATGGTGGTATGTTTTACCTCCAGTTTTAGACGAACATCCTCTTTCTCTTTGCAAATGAGGTCTAAAACAGCGATGGCGATCTCCACCTGACTGCAGTATATCCCATAAATGAGCAGTCTACAATTCAGAGGAAAGAGGAAAGAGTGAAGTGTGTGTAGAAATCAGAAATACTTTATTGATCCCTGAGGGGAAATTCTTTAAGATTGAACATAACAGTGATACAGTGCTTACAGAAATTTAGAAAGTTCACAGTGTAACTCATAATATGTGGCAATCATGTTGCTCGTGATAACTATGGTATAATGTGATTCTCTGATCGTGAATCTATTGCAAGACAGCCATCCACACTACATCATGATATGAATGACAATCCTCATGACATCCTCTAGGCAATAGGCTTAGTTCTCAAAAAGCAGGTGTCAATGAAATTCTACATCTATTCTACTAGATTTTGTAGTACTTTCAGTTTGACCCTGCTTTTTATAGAGAACTGAAATAGAACAAACCGCATAAAATCTAAGCCACACACACACACACACAGATGATTGTCATATAATTCAAATGTAAAACTGCCTGTGTGCAGAACAGATCCACAGTTCAAAATGTCTGACATTAATTAAGTATACATGTCTGCCTCAGTATTGAAAGACAACGTACTGAAATGTTTCTGCCAATGTATTGATACCAAATTGCAAGGGGAAATGCAGAGGTCTAGATAACCTAAAATGAAACCTTCTGTACACGTGAAGTTGATTACTGACACATAACTGCACAAAAGGCAAGGACATTGTGGAACACTCCAGTTCAGTTTTTTCAACTTACAGTCTTTTACAATATAAATGCACCTCAAGAAACTCACTTAAGAGAAAGTGAAGGAAAGCAACATCAAAAGTCAAATAACATGCTTTCCCTGCCACCTAACAATAAATGTAAAAACATGTTGTTGCATGAATACCTCTCTTTGTAGCTGATAAAAATCTGGTAGAGATTTAAGGCATTTTTGTTTAGGATGGAGTCCTGCACTTCAACCATCAGGCTCTTGTGAAGTTTAACCAGGTCCTGCATTAGAGAAAGAAGACACCAGCATGTGGCCATAAACTTTTTATTTTCATGTCATGCGACACGAAGGGAAACTTGTGGGACTTACTGGTATGTTGACAAAAACTTTTTCAATTTCAGCCGTAGAGAAGAATTTCTTCAGAGGATTTAGAAAATACTGGAGAAAGAGACAATTGAAAACCTGAATGAAACATTTCAGCTCTTCTCTTTAGATTCCCTCACAACCTGATTATTTAACTAGAAACAATCTGAATGGTTATTCATAACAACCAGTGACATGACTGCAACAGCTGGAATGCACGCATGCTGAAACTATTAACAGACATCACACTATCAAATAAGATGACCATAGCGTGTCAAATTAGGGAATTGATAACTTGGACTTTCCCTGAAATAACCATAAAATGGCGACATCGTTCAACGTAGCCCACTGAACCCAAATCAATAATCAACATCAATGTTTGAAAAAAGTACATAATTAATCACTTAGGTGAGACTATGATTTAATAATTTGACATCAAAAAAATCTACCATTTAAAGTTTTTCATGTAGCAATATGTGATCTCAGTGCAGAGCAGACTATCAGAGGATGTTTAGTACCTTCTCGATGGACTCCAGGGTCTCTGTGTATTTCTCCTCCGTCTGTTTAATCTCTGTAAGGCAGCAGCTCCGGACATCTACCTCCACCTGCTTCTAAAAAGACACATGCCTTGGAATGTGATGCTTAAATATAACTATTCGGTGGAGAAAAATGTGATTTTCTTTTTGAGTCAGTCTATTCAGAATATGTCCTTATAATTCAGAAATGAAATGTCTGTATTCAGATCACATCAGAAAATTTTGAATCTCAGATAAGTTTTCTTTGTTGTTCATTTTTTAAAACAAACTATTTACGAGCTACAGTATTTTCCAAGCAGCATGTGCACCCTGCCTCCTGTGTGCATCACACACAACAATAAGTGCGTGGGGGTCCACACAGCTCTGCAGCTCCAGGAAAGATCAACAAAAATATTTCAAACATCAATCACGGAATGGGAAGAATTTCCTATAGCGTCTATATTTTTTGTCTCAAATTATCTTAAATTTACTTTTGTAAACATTAGTAGGTGTAGCAGTGTATTGGTTGAGTAATTAGTATTTTGAAGTATTATCATCCAAGTTTTGCATCTAGAATTATTTGATTTGATTTTGGTTAATCAATCATTGGTAACTAAGGAACAAAATGAGATATTTGTCAATTTTCAGTGATTTGGTCTTTCATACTTGTCCAGTCCGTAGCTGTGAGCTCATGAGGATCAACAGGAAAATTACTCTAATATTTTAATTAGTAACAACTAATTATGATAACAGTACTTATGCTCAACTGCCGCTCTTAAGCAACTAACTATTGTTTTCTCTTGATTATTTTCTCCATTAATCGATTAGTTGTTTGGTCAATAAAGTGTCAGAAAATTGTCAGAAATGTCAATCAGTGTTTCCCAAAGCCCCAAAAGACGTCTTAAAATCTCTTGTTGTGTCCATAACCCAAAGATATTTACTTTACTGTCATACAGGAGGAATAAAACCAGAAAATATTTGCATTTAAGAAGTTGAAATCAGATATTTTTTATTTAAAAGAATGACTCAAACCGATTAATCGATTTTGGTTGGCGATTAATTTAAAAGTTGACACCTCATGGATAACTTGTTGCAGCTCTACTTGTACTTTACTTGAGTTCTATTTTATCTTCTTAATTAGTACACCTCAATATTGAATGATATTGTATAAATATTGTTTTATATCCACACTCTTTATCTAACATCTATAGTTACTAGTTACTTTTCCAGATTTCAATTTCTACCTACAAACATATGATGAGCTATATGTTACATGTTATAGATTAAGCTACCCAACAGAATATAAAACAGTTAGCTCCACCTGAACTAGCTACCGTACTTAAATGCTGGTCACAGCATTATTTGGATAGCACTTTTCACTACAGGTAACAAGGTGCTTTTCAACAATCAGTATATAATACCTAAACAAGTCAATATATAAATAAAAGGAAAAACTAAATATGCAACACAGTCAAAGCTTTTCTTGAAAAATGTGTCTTAAGAAGTGAGATTAAAATGAGAACAGATTCTGCAAGCCTAATCTACTCTGGTAGATATAACATATAATAAGGTACATATATACATATATAAGGTATTATTTCAAAATCAATCCTAAAAGAATAGCTGCAATGAACTGATTTCTGACTGAGTACAGGCATATACTGAGTCACAATCGTTGAGGCAGGGGAAGATAAAAAGATGATGCATAACAAAATGCATAAGTTTCTCCAGATCTGTGGTTGAAATAAAAAACTTAACCGTGACTGTATTTTTAAAAACATAACTTGACAACTTTCTTTAGATGGGATTCAAAACACTCACGTCCTAGTCAAAAACTCCCCTAAGAGTTCAGAGGAATTATTATAAGTTGCTAGTTTGCTTGGGTTTGACATGATTTGAATTCTGATAGCAGGGGGACCGTGTACAGTGACATCAGATTTTGTAAGGTTTAGTTGTAGAGGTTAAGTTGTGTGACATCCAGGATTTTATTTCAGCAAGGCAATTGTGAAGGGTTGCAGTGTTAGACTGACTGCAGAGTCTGATTGGGATATAGAGCTGTGTGTAACTGTACATTGCATTTGCAGGTGATATTACCAGTCCTTATGGGCAAGTCATGCATCTCTGCAGACATCTTCGCAATGCCTCCGGGCAGCTATTTCAGACTAACAAGACCAGGCTCCTATCTGAATGAATGGGGAGAGAGCCAGAACTGCACTTTTACTGGTCAACGAGACATAAAAACTACATGACTGGAATCAGCAATAAAATCTGATAAAAAATTGCTGAAAAAGGTTGACGACTTTGCTTCAAAATAAGGTTTAAAAAGGATTTTTCCCGGCCAGTTATACTTCTACTGCGTAGTAGTAGTGATGCATGCGCAGTACACAATTGGCTGAAATATGTTTCCCGCCTCTGCTGTTAAAAGAAGACGATTGGCTTTCTAGCAGGAGGGGCAGGACAACCGCTATCTTTGGCGTTACTGAAGATTCTTAAAGTGGCATGTCTCCTATATATAATGTCTCTGATGTTACTAAGAGGGAGCAATATGATAAATAATAATATACCACCCTGCGAGGGGTAATTTTGATATGTTCAAAGTACATTTGAGGATCATCTATACATTTACAAGTATAATTTTGAATGCTCTATTTTTACTTGTAATTAGTATTTTTACATTATGTAATGTATTGGTACTATTATTGAAGTAAATAGTCTCAGCTTAAAGATATGGTGTTGAGTAACAGAAGTCGATCTCATCCACTTAATTGTACCAGGTGAGAAGCTGAAACTGACATTGAAATATTCAATATGCTATTTGAAGGTATTCTGCACAACACTGACTGTGTGTGTGTGTGTGTGTGTGTGTGTGTGTGTGTGTGTGTGTGTGTGTGTGTGAGATTGTGACTCATCGCAGTACCAATGGGGGTTGCTGTTCAGTCCTCATGAGATCTTCATAGATTTCTCCACCTGCATAGTCTTCTTCCAGCCCATAGACCGCCGCATACAAGTCGTCCTCATCCTCTGGGGCATTCTCACTATCACATACACACAACCATGAGCACAGACGCATATTAACATCTCTAAAACATGTGGATTATCAGTAACCAATTACTTCCTTTCAGTACAGTGATTAAAAAATTGTCTTCAAGAATAATTTAAAACAATGGGTTAATGCAATAATGTATGAATAATCAATATATGCTCTTTGTTGCTCTTTTTCTCATATTTATAAACTCTTTATTAACTACTCATTACTGCATGAATTAGTGAATGAAATACTTCAGAAGGGTATAATGCATCATTCAAACAAAACGTGTTGACAAACAAATAATATAAATATTGTATCTGTTATATTTGGTTACCCTTGTTCGTCTTCATCTATCAATCTGTCTACAGCAACCACCCATCACGCCTTTATGTGGGTGTATGCAAGCACTTAACACCAACATGAATTACTCATTTGTTCCCTCTGACAGTAACAGAGAAACAGAGCCAAGCCTTTTACCAAAACATGTGGGTGTCCAGACCCCTGGAGAGCATAGATGATGAGTAGAGCTGGTTCTGCTACTGAGTAAAATAATCATGTTCTATCAACACCAGTAATGGGCACGCAGAGAGAGGAGTCTCATACATACTCAATCAAGTCTTCCAGATTATTGTAAATGTCCTCGTCTTTTAGGCTTTCCTCGGTTGGGAATGGCCTGGATATGACAGAAAAATAAGCGTGAGGCTCAGTGTTTAACAGAAAAATCACTCTATACTTGAGTGACTTAGGGCAGGAAAGGAATTTCTGATGCATTAAAATGTATTCAAATATCCAGCATGCATATCCAAAAGCCCATCCAATAGCTTGATATGCTTTCATGTAGCAAAAAAGGACAGAAATTGGGCACCTTGAATATCAGAAATTGGGGTCACAAGCCTCATTTTATTGAGATGGAGACCCTACCATTATCACAATCAGTGGATGCCAGAAAATGATTAGGGGCGCAAAAATAAAAAAATAAATATGGAACATATTAAAATAAAAAGAAAGAAAATTCCGCATCATGGTAAAAAAAAATTCTTAAAATGGTTTACTCCTAAGAAAGTTACAGGCTGAACATCCTGATGTATTCCCTTTCTGTCTCTCAATGAAGTTATTTTTTTCTCTGGTTTATTTACATATTATATCATAAAAACTAATATACCTTATAAGTCTGTTTGTTTGTTTTTAATATTGGGAGACTTACTTAAATCCTCCTTGCTGTGCAATTGCTGTGTTAGACAGCTTCGATAGCGTGTCCATAACCTGGTGAAAAAAGGTGCGTTAATTCATGTTTTAGAATGGCTCAGGCATAAAGTTAAGAGAGCGGGAGAGGAAAGGGACAGACATGTGAGAGACTGAAGAAAGAGACCTGCTTTGATAATGCCGCATTCATATCATATCAGAGCTTTTGTAATTACCAGTTTCTGACTTGTAAATAGCATTCACGTCAACATCCAGAACCTTACAATAATAATAATAATAATAATAGCAGCTTTATTTGCATAGCACTTTTTAATACAGTTAACAAACTGCTTTACAACAATCAGTGTAAAATACAAACAAGTCAAATATAAATTGTTTTACATATAGTAGCAGTACAGTAGTAACTACTGACTAATAAACAAGTCAGCAAATATAGGAAAAATACATTAGAAATCAAACAGTGAAAGTTACTTCATAGAAATGTGTCTTAATAAGTAAGATAAAACCAGAGACATACTCTATGAGTGTAGCCTGCATCCTGGCTCACAGGGGGATAAAATCTCAGAGCTATAGGAAGGTACCAGCCCATGCCTGGCCTTAGAAGTAATTCGAAGAATTTTATATGATGTGCCACTGATTGTTTGAATATAGCTTTCTCAAGGACATTTGCCAATTTTGAAACAGGTCTGTAATTATTCAAGATGGAGGGATCTCAATTTATTTTTTTTCAGGAGAGGTTCGATCAGATCAGTTTTAAAACAAGTGGGGACAGAGCTGGATGTCAAGAAGCTATTTACAATAGCCAAGATGAACAGGTCAACATGTCATTGAGGGCGGAAAGAGACATTGATTCAAAAGGAACTGAAGGAAACAACAACACATGGTCTGTGGGTTAAAGCCTCTGAAACAGATCAATTGTGGGGCCAGCTGCTAGCAGTATAGATTTTTAGAATTTTTTCAGTAAAAATATTTTAATATGCTCGCAGAGGTCAAATGATGCAAGCAAGTTAGTGTTAGGAGGGGAACCAAAAATCTCGTTGCTTTAAACAATATTTCTGGGTTTGGGGCATTTTTATCAATCAAGGTGGAATAGTTAGTTGCTGGTGCATCATTGACTGAAGTGTATTTTTTTTTATTTTAAGGTCTTCATGTACTCATAGTAATCATAAAGTTTGCGCTCTGAGCTTTCCGTACCTCAATCTTTAGGGAGTGAGTGTGATCATTGAACCATGGTGAGAATTTTGAAATTAACTGAACCGAGTTCATTATTGTCAGACAGAGGTTGTTAAAGGAGTTCACCAGGAAGTCAGTGGCAGAGACAGTTCTGATGACAGGGCCAAATATACATTCGAAAATTTACAAGCTGTTGTTGAGTTAATGATGCGAGCGGGCCTGTATTGGCCCTGTTGGGTGTAAGACAAAATTAAAAGACTGTAGGAGCTTTAGAAATTCCCCAGAAAGTGCATCACTAGGACAACATATGTGAATATCAAATCACCAATAATACGGACCCGGTCAAAATTAGATAGAAGCAGAGAGAGCAGGCATGAGAATTCTGAGATAACAATGCTATTAGGTTTAGTAGAACGATAAACTATGAGAAACAAAGTAAGCTGATGCTTGTCAATACATAATATTACGGTTTCGAAGTGGAAAACTCCCCACAGGATGAATACTATAGAAGAAATTATCTCACTGTCGCACTGTATTCCTCTGCTTTTAACCGTGTTTCAGTCATACAAAAATATCAGTAGCATTACATAAAAAGCTGCTTAATACTGTAATACCACAGTGCCTGAAAACCAAACAAATATGGATACCACCTAGTCAATGAATGAATCTGATTAAACTCATATTTAATGGGTATAGTTAATGCACAGTATTTGTATTTGAGTTGTCCAGTAACCTGAACAATGCAGCAGCAACCACTGCAATCGCCCTGACAAATAACTTGAATACTATATTTACCACAAAGTAACAACGTAACACTAGGCAACCGTGTACCAACCACATCCTCGTAATAATTCCAAAGGCCACAGAAACCATGTAGCAGCCACCAATAAACACACTAACGATGACTTAACATCCCTATATGAAACATGTGTAACCTTAGCAACAACTATTGAACTGTTGATCGGCTGGACACTTAACACTAACAAATGTCTCAACATTTATTTATTCAACACATGAAACCACTATGAAATTGCAAAGTTGGGGTGTCCCTGTGGCTTAGGAGTTAAGATACCAGCCATGAACCAGAATGTTGCCTGTACAAATCCAGCTGGGAAACTTTGCTGCTTGTCTCTCTTCTTCATTTCCTGTCATCTCATCACAATCTAATAAAAGGCATAAAAATGGTAGCCACAACAGATTATTTTAGCAAACTAAGACTCAAGTACCAAGAATTTGATTCACTTTCAGGCCATACAAAAATCAGTATTTGCAAAGGTAGCGACAAAATATATCAGCGCAAAGTATACCCTGAGTTAAAACCAGCAGAACACCGTATGCTCCTTCAAAATCAGACTCCTCTCTGTTAAATAGCGATGTTCTGTACTTATGTGCCAACCATTTGTTGTCCTTTATTTCTTACATTGCACAATATTATGCTTAAAACATAAATGTTGTACAACCTGTTTGGCAAAAACGTACTCCCTTAGGATCATGCCAATAAATAAAACTCAGACAAACAAAGACATGGTCTGCAGGAAATGGTCACTTTACCTCAGACTCTAACAACTTTGTGTGTTTGTGTGTGTGTGTTTGTGTCTGTGTGTGGTGGTGGGGGTGTATGAGATAGACAACAGATCTAAACGACAACTAATATACGAAACACCTCTACCTTTCTTTGCCAATTTAAAATATTTCAAAATGAAAATGTCCTGACTTTTGTAAATTGAAAGTCACTTTTTTCAGTCACATTTTAAGTAAAGAAAATACATAGTTTTACATGTGGGAAAAAAATACACAGCTAATGCATGAATGTTCATACTTGCATTCAAGCAATGAACAAGTGTGATTTTTCCCTGTGTGCAGTCATGAATTAGTCTAGCTGTACAATTATGTGTCTGAATTCTGCTAACATGAATGAAAGTGGATTTGAATTCCAGCAAACTAAAACTGTGCTATAATAATCCTCAGATACGAGATCATTACTGACCAAACAGATGAACCACAGGATGTTGTAATCAATCAATCCTGGTCGATGGTTCGGACATACAGTATTGACAGTGCATACAGTGCAGTCTGTAGATTCTATGGGAGAAATAGTGAAAGGAAATGTTATGCATGTCAGATGGGGATGATATGATGTCGGCTGAAGTAAAAAATATAAAAATCATGATGCATGCATTAAGAAGACTGCGCGCCATGTCTTTTGTGTCATTACAACACAGAAAATTTAATAATTTCATTATTGCATCTATTGAATTATTAACCCTCTCACTTTCTCATTTATCTGCTTGGTATGAAGAAGCTTTAAGTAACAACACTACAAATGACTCTGTTCTCAGGATTTGGATATGCAGGCATGGTTAAAAACGATAGTTGATGGGGTTAGATATGTGAACAGCCTGTCTCCTCTTCCTGTGTGAATGAGTGCTGTGGCTTTGGCTGAACCCAGGTGTGCTTGTGACTTGAAAGAGTCCTGTTTGTAGTGTGAGATACCAGCTTTAAAACTTCTTCAAGTTATTTAGAGCAGTTGAAATTATGTCTTTTCTGAAACAAAACAAAAAAATCTGCCTTTGAAGTGACATGACTTTTTCATTTGAAATGTAATATTTTGCTGTGTGTCATTATTCCACAACTAGACACCCAACACACACACTCCGGTCCTAAAGGTCACATGTCACCTGATTCAAGAAATGTGATGCAGAGGTTCAGTTGAATAGAATATAAGTAGTTCAAAAGAGAAGGAAGAACCTGTATAAATACGCTGAAACAAATCTAATATTTGTTTACTTTGTGTAATGAATTGTAAATCCTTCTACTTGTCTTAAAAACCAGCTCAGACCTGACTAGTCTGATGATCTGACACTTAGTTTAAGCCACACGTGACAAGTAAAGCCACAAGCTGAGCTGAAGTCCAACCGCCATGGTGAGTGTGGCCCCTTCACACAGTATATCAAAAATCCCCAGAGTGCCATTAAAAAAAGAAAGCAAATGGTAGAGATGTTGTAACATAATGTCATAAATCATATGTGCATGTTTGACTCTCTGTTATTTTGTTAACTAGAATTGTACAGTAGCATTTACACATATTAACAACAAACTAGTTAAATCCTATAGGGTTTCACTTTAAACAACTTCAGACACACAGCAAGTTAACTTAGGTATCTCTTTTGTTTGATCTGTACAAAAACCGAAGCATAAAAACAGCACATTTTGGCTCTATGAGGAGGGGGTTATGTGCCGAACTGTTTCTTGACCGGGCAAAGTAATTTCCGGGCAGGCAACCGATGTTGACTCCAGGAGATCAAACAAACTAGATATACCGTTAGTGAGCTTCAGAGGATGAGGTGGATTTGTTACCTTCGGACAGAGCCAGGCTAGCTGTTTCCTCCTGTTTCCAGTCTTTATGCTAAGCTCAGGAAGTCGCCTGTAGCTATAGCTTCATATTTACCGCACACACACACGAGTGGTATCTATTCTCACCTAACTCTTGGCAAGAAAGCAAATAAGAGCAACAATTAATTATTTCTTTAAGCAGAAGAAAAAACAGTAGCCATTTTTTCAATTGTAAAATGCCCTTCTCTTTTCACTTTTAGTAAGACAACCTTTGCTTTTACAGTCAAGGCTGAAGTAATTTTATATTCAGAGAAGAAATTTAAAAATGTTTTGCCTCCTCCCTATATTCTCTCCGGCCACCAGGCAGCTTCATGCAGTCAGCGTGGCTGCCCAGGGAGAAGCCTGTAGTAATTCAGCAGAGGAATGTAGGTTAGAGAGCTCTCATTAGATATTCAGTGGACTAATGCTCAGTCTACGGGCAGAGTTGGCACAACTCATGCCCAAGTGGATTAGACTGGCTGAGATTTGAGATGTTCTCTTTTCAATGTTTTCTGGAAAATAAGGAAGAGATTGAGTATTTCATGTTCAGCTGTACAACGCCTCCTGGAGCCAATCCAACCCAATCGCTGAACCTTCAGACACCCGTATTTTTAACTAACAGAGCAATCTTCCTGCTCCGGAAGCTTGTTTGTTTGATGGACAACCCTTGAACACGATTTGAGATTATGCAGCCCAGCTTGGATGTACTGTACATATTTGCAGGCAGCACCTCCCCTGTGGGATTATCAGCAGCCAGATTAACTGGAAGCTTCTTTAGAACACAACACACTGAACTGAAAGAAAAGAGAGTCTCTGTGGGAAACTGCACGCAAACTCAAAATACAGTCCGTCACAGTTACAGAGAACCAGTAACCACCGTCTATTTACTCTGGGGAAGTGACTTGAACATTTTAGTCATGTAAAATATCCCTGACTTTTGATATACCTTTTGTTTGAAGAACATTTCTTTCAATTAAAATTTGCTCGCACATAAACAAAATATACCTGGAGTTCTCAAACCGCCTGCAATACTGTATACATTATTTAAAACAGATACCATATCTACTCTGACAAACTAATTGGATTTATAAAAAGAAATTATTGCACATGAGGTATAGTAGTGTACCCAATTTAAACCATTTTGAAATGATGATAACCCTTCAGAAGACTTAATCTTCAGTATTTTAGATGAATTAAAAAATACATATATTCAGTACAGATTAATACATAGAAAACATATTCTAATAGTTAAATGGTTAGAGACAAAATTAATGTATTTCCCTGTGGATACCACAGAGATACTCAGACAGCTCCTAATGCTCCAAGGCAAAGTTATGCATTGAACTAAGGGAATATGGGAATAAGGCTGGTCAGAGTGAGTGTGCTTTCCTCAGCGGGGTTCAATCAGGCTCCTGCGAGTCTGGCTAGGAGGAGTGCACTACAAACCCACTGACCTGGTAACACTGTGTACACACAGTGAAATCAGCTCACACAGTAACAATAGAAGTCAACCAAGCCCTTAAGAAGTGCACCGGAAAAATGCAAGACCAGGCAACGGGCAGCCTCAATCAGAGGAAAAGACATCACACCTCTGACTAGCTCTATGTCATGTGGGTCTTATTATGTTACATGCATCTGAATGTGTGACTGGATGTACACACAGTCCGATGTACTACCATTTTTCTACAGTGTACAGATGCAGATTGCAAATGCAGTGATGTCCATTCAGTTAATGTTTAATGATTTCTAGTTCTGTTTATGAACTTTTTGCACATCACATACACTATAGAGAACAGTTTGCAAAAACCTTTAACGCAAGTGCATGTACTGAGTGAAGATTTCACACAATGTTCTCAAAAAATAGACTTTACCTAAGATTTGGTTCATTTAACTGTTTTCATTGCATCTGAATAATCGCTGCTGCAAACCAAGGAGTTGATGTGTCCATGTTATGAGATTTTCTTGATGGAAGAAGAGTTTTGGCAATACAACACTAATTTGCCATTTTGCAAACTGGAACACATATTTGATGTTTATGTCACCCCTGTTGTTTCTAACTACAAAGTCTGAGCCATGGAAAAAGACTGTAACATGCACTACTGATTAGACAGACAGTAGCACAATCATGATCATCGCTCAGCTGTAATAGCTGGCACATGAATCTAATAATGTGCTCACTCAAACTGATTTCATTGTAACAGTTTGAAAAGGTGCTAGATCAAGACTTTCATATTGCTGCAACTAGATAAGAAGGCAGCTGAAAGAAGGAAGGAGAACAGAAAAGAGCAGGACAGAGTAATCTGACCATTGTTGGAGCGTAGCATCATACACGAAAACACAATATCATGTGTTGTGACAGAAAAACAATGACGGATGTGGGTGTTACCTTTCCAAAATCTCGAACATCGAAGAGATCGAAGGCTTCAAATAAGTCACTTTTTTTCATTCCAAACACCACACAGCAAGACGTTAAGAATGTGCGAATGTTCTTCAAGCACAGGAACTGCAAAGGGCAAAAAAAGACAAATCAATTTGGTATCCTTTGTCTACTGTGGCATTTCTTCCCCCCCATTTTCTAGAGTCATTTTAGGGACAAATTGGCAAAATGGTCATTTAATTTTTCCAGAATTCTAGGAATAACGTTAATGTGTCCGTTACCCCAAATTACAGCAAAAGAAAAAATATATAAAAAGCAGCAAAAGAAAAGGCTTTTTTGCTGTCAATGACAATGTGATGCACTTCTACTTTATCTACCCTAAAATAGCATTGTTTGAATACCACCACCTGGACCATGCAAAGTGAAATGGTGCCAAAAGTACCTAAATTACAACTGCCCAGATTTTGAGGGCTACATATGTCAGTTAAATTACAAATATTCATTGAAATTACTTTTTACTAAAGAAACCGTCCCTATGATATGTTGATCTGTTGACTGCCTCTGTTGAGTAACAGTGATGTTTTTTTCAAAAAAAGAGATACTGCCTTCGAATGTTAGAGCACTATAATGTGCCTCCATTGCAGAAATTTCAGACAGATATCAGTCTGATTCTGCTTGGCTAGATTCCACCAAAGCAAGCTGAAACGTGTGTGTGTGTGAGGGGGGGGGGGACCAAATAAAGTGAAGGTGATCCACTCTCACATGCACACACACATACAGCAAACTGAAAATGAAAACTGAAAGTTTCACTGTGCGAAATGAAACCACTGTGCGTGTGCTCTTTTAGTGTCACTTCCTATTAGGATCTGCGTCTCAGTGGGAAGAGTGCAGTCGAACAACAGCTTATGGGTATGGGTTAGGGTCTGAGTCAAACTTGGGCCACTTCCACTAAAAAACACCCAGGAAACAAGCAGTTAACAAATGTACCGGCATAATTTGCACATTATTAAGTGATGACTAAACTAGAATCTAGGCATTTGTGATTATTTACAGAGCTGTGACAAGATTCTTGAGAATAGATAGGCTGCCTTTTATCACGTCAGCTCATCGTGGAGACGCCTGTAATCACTCCACCGCCCCCTGGGGCCCTGTTTGTCTGTGGAGGAAGTGCACGAACATGATGGCTTTGCACCACCACCAGCCACATACTCCAGATTACAGTCACAACCCTGGTGCAATATACACTGCACCTTTGGCTTCGCAGATGAAACAGTATAAAGTAAAGGTGCAGCTTTCTTGGTACAGTATGTTTAAAATGACTATTAAGGATCCCCAGGAGGGCTAATAAAAGGTTGCTTGATGCTGTGTTTTGTTGGGATTTTGTTCCTGTTCATTTTATCTTGAACTAACTACTGACATTATTTATTATCTTATTTGTGCACATATGCATGTATATTGATGTTTGACAGCAGTGATTTGTCTGAGGCTGTAGTCTCTCTTGAAAGATCTTCTTTGAGTTTCAGTTGTTTTCTCATTTTCGCTACAAAATAAATAACTTTAAAAAAAAGCAGAAATGATATTGAGGTTCTATTTATTTGTGATCCATACATAAGAATTTGTCACACTCCATGGTTTGTATTAGCACCATGGCCTAGCATACAGTCTGATAGAAAGAGCACTTCTGGGTGCATTTTCATCACAGTACACTGCACACTCGCCCTCCAGTCCATTACCTTCATGCTGTTGATTCCATTTCTAAGATCGTAGGTCAGCGGGGCACAATGAAAGGGATTTTTAAAATCTGAAGGCCACTGACACACATGCCTTTCTCGACCATATTCAGATGGCCTACAGCTGTGGGCTATGGCTAGCCATTGTTCAGCAAGTTATGCCCTGGGTTTGCTTTCACTGTCTATCAAGAATATAAAAGACGAGTGGACGTGCACTGACAGAGAACATACACAACACTGCAGTTTTTAATACAGAGCGAAATTTCTAATGCCCTGCTAGGAGAATGGCTTCTATTTATTACAGAAGCAAAGATCTTTTAAAGGAAACATTAGTTTATTATGGTATATTATATTATATATATATTATATATTATGGTAGCTAGTGGACGGTAAAATTAAAATTGATTCTTTGATGAAAAACAAAATGAAGGAATCTGTGGTGACGCATAATTTCAATCATACTTTTGTGACAACAAAAAAAAAAGTTTAATCTCATCACTCAAAAACTAACCGTGTGAAGCCCAGTAACAAATCTTTAAATCTATGTTAAAACTTTTTGTGTGTGCTTAATATCATGGCCTTTTTTTAAATGAATGGGTAATTTGACCACAATAGGTTAAGATTCAAGAAAGTATGTTGAAGATTACTTGGAATCAAACACAGTCAGAGTCTAACTAGCTGACACATCTGTCACACTTGTAAGAACGCCTGATAAAGATCTAATGGCATGCAATGCTCTCTAAATTAAGTAGGTACTAGTTGAACAGGAAGTCTTGTTCTTATGGTGACATATTACAAAAAAGTATGAACATTATTAATAAGAATTTTGCTAACCACATCTTTTTTAGATGAGTTTATTTAAGGAGATCTAAGGAGATTCGCAAAGTCTCATAATGACTAACTACACGTTATAAGGTTTCATACTCAGTGGCAAGCAAACAAGCTGCTGCTCACATAGTAAAAGTTCCCTGACTAATGGGTGGATCAAAGCCAGGATTTTATCAGTTCTCTCTAGTGGTACAGAGAAAAACTTTGGGTAAAGAGAGGCCAAGCCTTGGAACCATTCCTTTGGGTTTCACAGGCTGAGGGACATTTAGCAGTTAATCAAAAAGAGATTTAATTGCTTGAAGTATGATTTTTTTATTTTATTTTTTTAAATAGACATGTAGAAATGAGCAGTAACTCATATGTTTGGATTAATGTGTTTGGATTAATTATCATATTTAGAAGAAGTAAACTAATGATGTGTTCACATCAGATGATAATCTCCAAATGAGTCACTCTGTGCCTTATTTTCTAAAATGTTTACAGTAACACTTATCAGTTTGACACAGTACTGGATGAGAAAGTCGGCCTATGTGTTCCCAAATTATGGACATGTGTGACATATGGGAAATGATCAAAAGGATGCCTTATGGGCAATTCTTGGCAATTTACTGATCTATAATGAAATCATGAAATAACCTAAAGGGACCTAAACCTAAATGACTCTCAGACATCTGCATCCAACTTTTAAGAACTCTGGAACAACTGGCTCATGAATCATAATGTGTGTTGTTGCCTTCAGGCGTTTTAACAAAACAAAAAATTAAGATATGCTAACTTAGACCCTAGATTAATTTTTGTGGTGGTGTGTTTATCTCCCACAGTTATTTCTTGAAAAGCAGCTGCCAGCTTGTGGCTGTTAGTCTACCTAGACTTGGCCTATGTATAGGCTATGTACAACACATTGTAAAGTCACTACTCATAAGCACAAGTGGCAATGATTTTGTTTCTTCAACCGATTTACCTTGTTAATAAGTAATTGACCGACAATCGTTCAATCTCACACTACACTACAGTATTACTGTTATTACTGAAATAGCCTATTCATTTGAAGCAGTTTTGCGGTTCTTCCGCACACGTTACAACCACAAGTTGCTTTGAAAGCAGCGCAAAAAGTACTGGTCAATACCTGCGACATCTGTGGCCTGAGATTGATCTCCTTCAGGTTGATGGTGTGAGGTTTCAAGTTGTTGAGCAGCTGGCACAGCAGCACCCCGTCCCGCAGGGTTTGCGCCAGGTCGAACACCTGCGCCATGTCCGCAGTCACCCGGTGGTTCGGGGGCAGCACGTTGCAGCTGATCAGCCACATAGCACACTGCCTCCAGTACTCCATGTTGTCAGAGAGCGGTGATAACAACTGAATAATGCCAGAAAACTTTGTCCCTAATTTAAGCCTGTGCGCGGCATGGTGGCGGCTCTCAGCGCAGTCCGCACGTCTCTCCAAACTCCAGCTCTTCCTCTGGAGGACAGAGACAGCTGCTGCAGCTTATGAGCTCTGCACAGCTGGGGTTAGCTGCCGTGAAACCCCCTCTGTCTGTCAACTTCCTCTTCCTTCTTCTGTCATATTTCCACAGGTGGTCGCAACTCTCACTGATTTTTTTAAAACTACATTTCCCTTTTACTTCTGCAATCAATTGCCAGTTTATGCGCCTGCAGAATCTAATGAAACAAGCCAGGCAAAACCCAATCTTTGTGAAGCCTCTTTTTGACATGTCAGAAGAATCAACGCTGGTTAAGTAACCTGATGCCAAGGTTACCAGTTTTGACGTTATATAGGCCTACCAAGCTCCAACTTCAGCAAGTAAAACTATCATTTCATACCTATATGGATGTGGGTTTCATTTTACCTTTAGGCATGCAACTAATCTTTAATAATTATATAAATTTGTTCTGAATGATTGGCTATAAACTCAGAAAATAGTAAAGAAAAAAAGCATATCACATGTTCCAGAGCCCATCTTCAAATGACTTCTCTGACCAACCATCCAAAACCTAAAAATATTAGGCCTAAATTTATAATAAGGTAAGATAAGTTGTAACCAGCAAATATATGTCAATTTGGTTGATAAATGACTTAGGTGATGTATTCATTGCAGTAGTGGATGACATATGAGTTTAGTAGCCTAAGTAAAAGTAAAAGTATGTAAGTATAATCAGGAACATGTAGGCTAATTAAAGTATTAAAAGTAAAATACTCAAAGCAGAAAGAAAAACATCCCCTGTGACAGTTATATATTATTATTTAAATGTATTTATTCATTAATGTAAATGGTTTTAACTGTTGAGGTTGAACTGTTCAGACAGCAATTAGTGACTATTTTCGTTATAGATTAATCCGCTGATTATTTTAAATTGATTATAAAAAAAAAAAAAGAAACGTCACAGTTGCCCAGAGTGACACCTTCACAGTGCTTGTTTTGTCAGTCTAAATTTCAAAATGACTTTAAAAAACATTAAAATAATCAAAAGGAAAAACAGCAAATCTTCACATTTGTGAAACTGGAACCAGGAAATTACTTAAACAATATCAAAATAGTTGCCAATTAAATTTCTGTCAATCAACAAAATACTAGCTGTACATATAAACTCTTTGTGCGTAAAAAATCTTAGGCTACTTTGTAAAGTAACTAGTAACTGAAGCTGCTAGATAAATGTAGTGAAGTAAAAAGTACAATATCTCCCTCTGAGATGTAGTGGAGTAGAAGTAGAAAGTCGAAAGCACTTATTTTGTCATTCATATACAGTGTAGCTCTGTTTAGTCGTCCCAGTCTCCCATCTCAGCTGACATTCCATGTGGATTATCAGCAGCTTGGACAAGTAACTATAATCAGAGCTCTTTGTGGCATGTATGTTGGGAAGCTGGGATCTGTTTCACAATAGTCATAAGTTAAACCAGATAGGAAAGAATCAAGAGATATAACAGTTTCAGCGAAAAGGACAGAGAGGATCTAAACCTACGACATAAACACAGGAAGGAAGCTGGGGGATCCCATCTTGTTTCACCCTCTCTGAGGGAGCCAGATGTTTCCTTTGAAATTGAGCAGACTCATTCATTCCAACTTCAAGAGTGAGTAAGCAGGAAAACTTGCTCTATGGATTTCTTAAATACAAAAATAAATCACTATAATACAATGCAAATGCATGCACGATAGCACAAATCCAATACTGTGTACAATATCATATAATTTCCCTGAAAATATATTGAGGACAACAACTCATAAGCATTAGCTAAAATTAGCATTAGCTAAAATGAGACATTTTGTGAAGTGTCCCTTAGCTGAGGTTATACAAGAACTGGTTAATTGGATGTTATTAATAGAGCTTATAGTAGGAAATTTACTTTTAGCAACAAGGTAAGACTCTAGAGGTAGAAGATAATAACTGAATGAAATCAAGGAAGGATATCAACTGGGCAAGGTGGGCATCTGCTCAAAGTGACACAAAGAAAAATTCATGTGAAATGTTTTTTAAAGCTGTACTAAACAATTTTTATATTAAGAATGCACCAACTTAGTATGTGTAATGTGAAAGTGGTTACTTGTAATGAAAACCCCACAGAGGATTGTCACCTGACTCTACAGTTCCCAGCTCATAGCGTTCATAGGTTTCTCAGCTGTGTGCTTTAGCAACTTTCACAGTTTTGGTTTTCAGATCTGCAATGCTACTGTTTTGTTCAGTCCCACCAGCATCAACTCCATTTCCACCTGCGGCAGGCAACCATTTTCAGAAAGAAAAAAAAGAGCTCTTACAAATCCACTGTATGCCACAAGTCCAGCGTAAATGACAGACAGAGTTAGCAGCTAGCTGGTAAACATAGTGGCGCATTTTGTAGCTAAAAAACCACAGAGACCATTAACCTCAGGAGTTGAGAATGTGTTTGAGAATGAAGGGCCTACTGTGCATCATCTGTGCTACAACAAACTGGAGCGGTGGATGGGCTGACAACCTGCTGTTTTTAATGGCGTTGCAGCGCAATGTTGTTAATGACAATAAGGTGCATGTGTATTTAATAAGTTACACCATGTCATGGCATTACAAAGTAATGTTGTACAAAAACTCTGAATCACTTTCTGTGCAAACCGACAAAAACTTAAAGTAACAAGCTAACATTACTGTGAGAGCTGCTACTCAGGGTCAAATAGTTAGCAAGAACATTATACTTTGGTAAATGATTTAGCCTGGGTTATTAAATGAACACCAACTTAACAAGAACTGATAAGAATTGCGTAAGCAGTTTAAATGCTAAAAATCAACCTGCACATTTCTCACCTTGAACTTCTTCTTCGGGTCTGGATGAATTTTCTGTTCTGTTGACACAATTTTATAAGGTGATGTCAGTGTTTTGTTTACAGCTTGTTGCTGCCCCCAAGTGACCAAAAAAACTGTTAATGCAGGTTTTAAGGCAGACCCGGCCTGATAATGTGATCCTGACTTTGAGCAGGTGAGAAAGTCTCTGTAAAAATGTAGTTTTAAGCCCTTCATTATTCAGTTTTGTGCTAATATATGCATATTCCCACTGTACATGTTGCTGAGAGAATGGGAGGAGGGGCCCAGCAAATAAATGAAATTCTAAGATGGATTAATGGGACTTTGTTAAATTATTTAAAATAAGGCATGCCTACAATAACAAATAGGCTTTTTATATACAGTCTATGCAAATAGGTGATACATTTCAGAATATGCGTCTTAACATTATTATTATTACTATTGTACTGTAGTTCTTGTTGTTGTTATTTGGCCTCGCGTTTCTCCTCTGTAAACTTCCGGAGAAAAAAAAACGAAGCGAGCACGACACCGGAAATGGAAACACAGAAAAAAAAAAGAAGCTGAACCGTCAAAACATAAACAGAGCAGTCAACCTTGTGTGGACGCAGCAAGCTTGCTTTAAATAGTCTCTCTTTTACAAAGACCCTTTATGTACGCATTCCTAATGTCGTGTATTAACCGCCAGAGAATTCCTAGTCAAGGCACTTAGCTCACTTGCTAAGCAGTGAGGTGGAGAAAATAAATCTGCAATAAAGATTAGGACTAAACTAAGAAGTACGCCTCGTCGGGCCTTCGAGTAGAGGTAATAACCTAAGCTATGCTAGTTAGCCACTACACGAAACGCTAGCTGCGTGCTCGCTTTTTGACAACCAGCTGCTCGGTTGTTAAGTTAGGGCTAACAGTAGTGTTTTAGTTTCGATATTTGTTAGCTTCACAGTTAGCATTAGCTCACGTTAATAAAAGTGTCGGGTTGTCGAGCACCGCAGAGGACAATGCACTGTAAAACATCACAAAGCAAAATCGAGCATTAGTAAGGCCTGTGAGCCAGCTAGCAATCAAGTTAGTTTGTTTATCTCGCTACAGGCAGCGGTAGATAATTAGTAAATTAGCCAGGCTGTTAGTTTGGAAGCTACGGAGCTAACAGGTAATTTAACCAGTGGAGTACAGTTCAGCGACTGCAAGCGATCGTCTCGGCTCACTTATTGTACAAGGTGTCTGTTCCTATATTTGAACCCTTGTGAATAAAACAACCTAAATATTGCTTTTGTGTGTGACACTCAAAGGTTGTACCTCGGGTCGACGCAGGACAAAGGAGACAGAATGGCTGAGGCTGACTGCAAATCCACTGCGCTTAACGGTAACATCAGTACTAGAGAATTACTGACGATGTATACTGACCATAACTGTGCCGCTGTCATTCTGCATAGCTCTGACAGGTAATCAGCGGACATGTTTGGGTTTACTAGGTGGCTCTGAAGAAAAAGAACTGAAGAAGAGCAAAATAAGGAGGGAGATGCCTCTGGAAGCAAAGAGGGACAAACTCAGTC